ACGCGAGGCTCTGGCTTCCCCTTCTCGCCCTCGACCTGCTCCCGCGCGGTCCTGCGCTTCTCCAAAGCGCGGGCGGTCGTCGGCTCCCTCTTCGCCGCGGACAGCGGCGGGTGGTCCGCGGGCCAAGCCAAGTAGTCAACGCCCAGGGCGCTCCGCGGCTTCTTGGGCGTCGCGTTCGCGCAGTACCCGACGGCCGACCAGTGCCCGTCGCGGCTGCAGGACCAGTGAGAGGCGAGTTGGTACCTGTTGAGCAAGGCCCGCTTCACGGTCAGGAACTTGCTCTTCTTGCCCAGGTGCAAGGCCACGTGGTAGTGCGCCCGCCGGACGCCTGCCACTGGCGCGTGGGATTCTTTGAATACCACCAGCTTCTTGACCCCGACGGGCGCGGCCCCCTGCCCGCGGTGGCTTGCGAGCCACGCGGGGTCGGCGTCCGGAGCGCCGCAGCAATCCAGGTAAGCGTCGCGGACCTCCTCCCGCGAGAAAGCCGCTGGCGCTCTGAGACCCTCCTTGTCCGTGTGCGGCAGAGTCACCAAGTAGACCTCCCGCGAGGCGTTCCTGTTCTCCTCGCCGACGACGTGCTCGAGGAGCGCCGTCTGCTGGCTCTGCTTCCCCACGAGCCTGCGGCGCTTCTCTGGCCTGCCCACCGAGAGCGCCATCCCCCCGCGCGACCCGGCCAGGGCCAGCCCCCGCCCCGCTGAGCCGACAGGCTACAGAGAAAACGCAATGCGGACCGTCGGGGTCTTCGGGGGCATCGTATACCGCCGCCTGGCTGCTCAGTTGGGGAGCTCGTTGCACCTGGCGTCGTCTGCGCACCTGTCGCACTCGGGCGCGCCCCGTTCACCTGGCGCACGTGGCCCACCTGTCGCGTGCCGCGCACCTGTCGCACGCGGCGCACTTGGCGCGCCTGGCGCACCCCCTGCACCTCTGGGCGGGGTCGGCGGATCCTGTCCATGGATGCCGCTCGCGCGGCATTGTTGGACATGTGCAAACATGCATAAAAACCATACTGAACCTACAGTGAACCATCAGTGAACCAACAGTGAACCAACAGTGAACCATTGCAAATTACATAGTGAACCTCCATTTTTATATATAAAAAAATTCCTTACTCTTCTTTTAAATAGAATTCGAGGTTCACTATGGTTTTTACGAAGGTTCACTGTTGGTTCACTGTTGGTTCACTGTTGGTTCACTGTTGGTTCACTATGTTTTTTGCTGCATGTCTCGTGCGAGGGGCTCTCCGGGGCCGCCAGGGCGCTGGCGCCTGGGGGGCCTCGGCGGACACAATCATAATGCCAAGATCAGGTACTTTCGACTACGTCTGCTGGCCCTGTAGCCGCAAGGGCGGTGGACGCACGGATTGGTCTTGATCGTGGACCGCGACTGGCTCCCTTCCCGCGCCCCACGTCGCTCGCGCGGGTCAACCGAGGCGCGGGCCGCTACGGGCCGCCCGCCGCCCCGGCCCGCTGCGGTCTGCGCCGCGGTCGCCCGCCGCCCTGCCCGCCGCGAATCGCGCCGCGGCCGCCCGACGAAACCGCGCGCGCGCTCAGTTCCCACCGCCCTCGGCGAAGTGGCCGCCCTTCGCCTCGACCAACAAGCCGCAGCGCTTGTGCAGGCTGCCCATGATGCTGTGGATGTACTCAGAAGGCGTCGCCAACGCCGTGCGGCGCAGCCGGGCCAGTTACTGCGCCCGCGTCTCCGTCTTGCTCGCGGGCCAGTCCTTCTCCTGCCCCCTCATGCGCTTGTTCAGATTGGCCCAGAAGGCGAAATCAAGCGGCATCAGATCAGGGGGCCGCTTCGGCAAGTCCAACGTCTGGATGCCAGCGGACTTCTTCGCCGCCATGCCCGAGCGAGATTTGTAGCCCGTGGGGTCGCTGTCTTCCATGACGCGGAACTTGCCGCGCACGGAAGGGCAGGCCCTCTTCAAAGCGGGCTGGAGCGCCCCCGAGTACATTCGCCCCGCGGCTGCGGCGTTCCACCTGCCGACCACCTGGTGCCACATCAACACCTTGCCCGCGCCGATGGCGCACGCGATGGTCACGGAGCCCTTGCCCGAACTCTGCTTCAGAACCTGGGGGCAAGCCAAATCAGAGCGCGCCGTCGGCCACTGGCCTGGCGTGAGTGGCCTCGGCGCGGTCTCCGACTTGCGCCGGCCCGAGAACCTTGGGGTTGCTCGGCTTGACGTGGCCCACGGAGAGGTCCCGCTTGCGCTTCCTGTACACCCCGCGAGCCTTGCGCTTTGCCGCCACCTTCCTGCACTTCGCATTGGGCAGCACCTGGAACGCCTTGTTGTCCATGCACGCGTGGACGTACTGTGGCCACTGACTGGGGCTCTGGTGCTTGTGCTCGCGGGCCCAAGGCGTTCCTTCTTGCCCCCGTCCGAAAGGTCAGGCTTCTCGCACAGCGGGCGGAACTCATAGCCATTCTCCTCAAACGCGCGGCGCACTGTCTTGATGTCGCATTTCAACTTCATCTCGGACTTCAGCATGGCTGCCGTCACTTCCTTTGTGCCGCCCGAGGACTTGAGAAGCCTCTTGTAAGCGCGCTGGGCAGCGAGAAACCCTTTGGGGGTGCGGATGGAATGCTTCGGGCGGCCCTTGGACTTCTTGGTTGCGTTCTTTTTGAACAAATGCTTCGAGACGGTGTCCGTGGAGCGGCTCAAGGCCGCGGCGATCCTCTTGACGCCCATGCCGCCGTCATGCAAGCGGCGCATTGCGACGTGCTCTTCGGCAGATACATGGGCGAAGGATTTCGGCGACATTCTCTGGCTGTGGAGACAACAACGGGCCAAATGCGCTCGGTCCAGAAAGCGCTGCGGTCATCCTTCCAACGGGGGCATCCTGAAAATGGATGCAGTCCAGTGAGCGAGGGCATCCTATATCTCGGATGCCCTTTTTTCCATCCGTAGCGACATAGGTTCGGGTGGCTTCTGTCCGTGAAAATGGCCAAGATCTGCGCGACATGCGCGCGCAGGTGCGCAAGGGGGATCCATTTTGGGATCCTCCCTCGCTGCTGTTTCGTCGGCTGCCCTGTGGCTGTATCGTTGGTCGCCTGGTTCCTGGTGGCCTGCCTGCTCGGCTGCCTGTTGGCTGCCTTGCTGGCTGCCTCGATGGCTGCCTCGTTGGCTGGTTTGTTGGCTGTCTCGTTGGCTGCCTCGTTGGTTGTCTCGTTGGCTGCCTCGTTGGTTGCCTTGCCGGGTGCTGTGTCGGTGGCCTCGTTGGTTGCCTTCCTGGCTGCCCTGTCGACCGCCTCGCTGCATGGCTGGCTGCCTCGTGGGCTACCTCGTTGGCTGCCTCGTGCCTCGTCGGCTACCTCGTTGGCCGCCTCGCTGGCTGCTTCGCCAGTTGCCTCGACGGCTGTTTTTTTGGCTGCCCCGCGGGCTGCCTCGTCGGAGGCCTCGTTGGCCGCCTCGCTGGGTGCCTCGTAGGCTGCCTCGTTGGCTGCCTTGTTGGCTGCCTCGCCAGCTGCTTTCCTGAAAGCCTACCAGACAACGCCCCCATCAATATCACGAGCAAGCGCCTATCCAGCTGCCATAGCGACGATGAAGGAAGCGTGGTAACCCAGGACCCAAGGACGGCGAACGAGTGAACACCATATGCAAATAAATTGTAATCATGTGCATGCGCTGACTATATCACCCTGGGTTTGAATAAACCGACCCGTTCGCAGCCTGGGGAACGATGGGGCCTCCGAGGCCTCAGGATGGCTCAAGGCAGCCCTCCACAGAACCGTCTCCAGCTTTCGATAATGCACCCAATGTCTGTTGTGGACGGTAGGACGACAGCAACATGTAACCCTGGGCAGGCAAAATCGAACTTCCCGCAGCTCCGGGGATCCATTGGGCCTCCGAGGCCTCCAGGACGGCCCAAGGCAGCCCTTCACAGGACCGTCTCCTTCCATCCCTTTTTCGGCCCCCTCCGATCCCCTCCCCCCTCCCCTCCCCGTTCCCTTCCCCTCCCCTCCCCTCCTCCCCATGCCCTCTCTTCCCCTCCCATCGCCTCCTCGTCCCTGCCTCCTCTGATTCACTCCTCCCGCACCTGCTTCGAAATCCTCCACGCTCCACCGCTTGATCCTCCTCCCCACCACCTCCCATCCTCACCCTTCTCATTCTTCCTGTCTCCCACTACTGTTCCTAGTCCTCCGCATCCTCATCCTCATCCCCATCCTCCTCTTCCTCCTCATCCTGATCCTTATCCTCCTCATCCTTCGCTTGCCCCACATCACCCCCTCACCCCCCCCACCCCCCCCCCCCCTCTCCACCTTCTCCCCAAGCATGGATCTGATTTATGAGGGTCGCTGTTGAGGCAATGTGCTACACAAACCTTGCCATGGAGGTCCCCCATCTTGTTTTGCAGGTGGGAGTAGGGAGGAGGGAGAGGAGGAGACCGTACAGATGCCACAAACGTCGCATTACAGTCACAATGCCACGTCAGCATTACAATCATAATCGCCCTCACGGCGGCATCATCTCCACCATCATCATCATCATCATCATCATCATCATCACCATCATCAGTATCAGCATCATCAGCAGCAGCATCATCATCACCCACAACCCTCAAGGAGGAATGAGGAACAGGAGGGAGGAGGGGGGGAGGAGAACGAGGAGAAGGAATAGGAGGAAGATGGAGGTTCCGCTCCTGGGCGTAAGACGCTGGGGCAAGGGGTGAGACGTTTCAGGAGGAGTGCGGAAGGGTCTGGAGGAATGGGAGAACCCCGGAGGATTGGGAGGAGTGCGGAGGGTTGAGGGGAAATGGGTCGGTTGTGGGAGGTGAGGAAGGAGTGCGGAGGCGTGGGGAGGACTGGGAGGGTTGCGGAGGTTTCGGGGGGAGTGCGGATGGGTGGGGAGGAATGGGATGGTGGAGGAAATCTCTTTCGGGAGGAGTGCGGAAGGGGTGGGGAGGAATGGGGCGGTTGCAGAAGGTTTGGGAGGAGTGCGGAGGGATGTGGAAGGATGAAAGGGTTGCGAAGGTGTCGGGAGGAGTGCGGAAGGGCGTGGAGGAATGGGAGGGTTGCGGAGGTCTCTTTCGGGAGGTGTGCGGAGGAGTGGGGAGGAATGGGACGGTTTCACAAGGTTTGGGAGGAGTGCGAGGGGATGTGGAGGCATGGGAGGGTTGCGGAAGTTTCGGGAGGAGTGCGGAGGGGTGTGGAGGAATGGGGGAGGTGCGGATATGTGCGGATGTCCCGGGAGGAGTGCGGGGGAGTGGGGAGACATGGAAGGGCTCCGGAGGTTTCGGGGGGAGTGCGGAGGGATGTGGAGGAATGGGGCGGTTGTGGAGGTTTCGGGAGGAGTGCGGAGGGGCCTGGAGGAATGGGGGAGGTGCGGGTGTCTGGGAGGAGTGCAGAGGGATGTGGAATGATAAAAGGGTTGCGGAGGTTTCGGGAGGAGTGCGGAGGGATGTGGGGGAATGGGAGGGTTGCGGAGGTTTTGGGAGGAGTGCGGAGGGATGTGGAGAGATGGTAGAGTTGCGGATGTTCGGGAAAAGTGCGGAGGGGTGGAGAGACTGGCAGGATTGCGGAGGTTTCGGGAAGAGTTCGGAGGGGTGTGGAGGACTGGGACGGTTGCGGAAGGTTTGGGAGGAGTGCGCAGGGTGGGGGGGAATGGGACGGATCGCGGATGTTCGGGAGGAGTGCGGAGGGGCGGAACGAATTCGAAGGGCCCCGGAGGTTTCGGGAGGAGTGCGGAGGGATGTGGGGGAATGGGAGACTTGCGGAGGTTTTGGGAAGAATGCGGCGGGGTGTGGAGGAATGGGAGAGTTGCGGATGTTCGGGAAGAGTGCGGAAGGGTGAGAAGAATGGCAGGATTGCGGAGTTTCTGGGAAGACTGCGGAGGGGTCTGGGGGAATGGGACGGTTGCGGAAGGTTCGGGAGGAGTGCGGAGGGGTGGGGGGGAGTGGGGCGGTTGCGGAGGTTTCGGGTGGAGTGCGGAAGGGCGTGGAGCAGTTGGGAATAGTGCGGAGGGGCGTGGAGGAATGAGGTTTCGGAATTTTTGTTGGCGGAGTGCGGTGGGGTGCGGACGACTGCAGGGGAGTGGCGCGGACTGGGAAGGAGTGGGGGGCCTGCGGAGGAGTTGGGAATGAATGGAATTTAATGGAATGCAGCGGGGGGCCTCTGTCGTAGACCTCGCCCGAGAGGGCCTCCAGGGGGGCCTTACGAAGATCCACGGGGGCTCCAAGACGACCCCCAAAGAGGCTCCACGCGGACTGACGGACGGGCCCAGAGGCGACAGCACTGGCATCGTCGACGGTGATGGTCGGAGTCGTGCCGGGCCAGAAGCACGACGTGCCCGTGGCGGTCGTGCAACGCTCTAGGGGTCTGCCGAAATTGTCGGGGCGCGGCATGCGGAGTCAGCCATCGGGGCCTTCCGTGGAGTTCCCGATGGGGCAACGAGGTGTGGCAACGACGATAATGGCGACAGTGATGATGGCGATGATGGTGATGATGTCGCGCGCAGCGACCCCAATCGCACGCGGCAGGACTACTTAGGCTTGAACTTAAGAGCCTCGCTTGTTACGAGGGTCGAGAAACAGCGCGGGCACGGCACTAGCTTCGGGGCCGGCGGCTTGGGAATCGGCACAGTGAATAAGTACAGTTTCAGCCGCCGGAGCAGCATGCCAGCCTGCCCCTGCGGGCGCTGCGACGACTCGGACGAGAGGCCCGCCAGCGCCGTCTCGGGGCAGGTGACAAAAATCGGGGCGGACCCCACGTACACCTTGTGCCCGACGTGCTGGTTCTGGGGCATGGTGATGGGCACGGGCTTGCCCTCCAGCCACAGGAGCTGGATGGACAGGGGGAGGTCCTCATCGATGAACATCCACTCGTCCAGCACCGCGGCCTTGGCCTTGTCCAAGCCGTGGAGGCAAAACTGCCCCCCGCCTGGCCTCTCCTGCACGTGCTCACCGCCGAACAGCGGCCGAACCGCCGAGAAGAGAAGAGACTTCCCCTCTCCGCCGAAGCGCCCAGCCAAGGTGACCACCGGGGCCGCCTCGGACCGACCGTGCTTCAGGGACATCAAGATGCTGCTGCACAGGTCGGGGACGTCGATGCGATTCATCGACAGGCTTTCGCGGACGTGGTGCAACCAGCGGCCGCCGCAAACGCAAGGCGTCCGCAAGGCCTCCTTGAACTGTTGCATGACGGGTTTCGTCGCGTCTTCGAGGAAGCTGTCCACGTTCTCCCACGCCCAGGCCTTGTCGATGATCTTCTCCAGCACGTGCTCGTTCTTGAACATCCAGGCAACCACCTTGTGCGAGCAGGACGTCTTAGCGTACGCCATCAACTTGCGCACTGCGTGGGGGTCGTCCGGAGTATTCCGGATCCCAGACCTGACCACTATCGGCCACAGGTCCACTTCCTCGACGCGAGGCTCTGGCTTCCCCTTCTCGCCCTCGACCTGCTCCCGCGCGGTCCTGCGCTTCTCCAAAGCGCGGGCGGTCGTCGGCTCCCTCTTCGCCGCGGACAGCGGCGGGTGGTCCGCGGGCCAAGCCAAGTAGTCAACGTCCAGGGCGCTCCGCGGCTTCTTGGGCGTCGCGTTCGCGCAGTACCCGACGGCCGACCAGTGCCCGTCGTGGCTGCAGGACCAGTGAGAGGCGAGTTGGTACCTGTTGAGCAAGGCCCGCTTCACGGTCAGGAACTTGCTCTTCTTGCCCAGGTGCAAGGCCACGTGGTAGTGCGCCCGCCGGACGCCTGCCACTGGCGCGTGGTATTCTTTGAATACCACCAGCTTCTTGACCCCGACGGGCGCGGCCCCCTGCCCGCGGTGGCTTGCGAGCCACGCGGGGTCGGCGTCCGGAGCGCCGCAGCAATCCAGGAAAGCGTCGCGGACCTCCTCCCGCGAGAAAGCCGCTGGCGCTCTGAGACCCTCCTTGTCCGTGTGCGGCAGAGTCACCAAGTAGACCTCCCGCGAGGCGTTCCTGTTCTCCTCGCCGACGACGTGCTCGAGGAGCGCCGTCTGCTGGCTCTGCTTCCCCACGAGCCTGCGGCGCTTCTCTGGCCTGTCCACCGAGAGCGCCATCCCCCCGCGCGACCCGGCCAGGGCCAGCCCCCGCCCCGCTGAGCCGACAGGCTACAGAGAAAAACGCAATGCGGACCGTCGGGGTCTTCGGGGGCATCGTAAACCGCCGCCTGGCTGCTCAGTTGGGGAGCTCGTTGCACCTGGCGTCGTCTGCGCACCTGTCGCACTTGGGCGCGCCCCGTTCACCTGGCGCGCGTGGCCCACCTGTCGCGTGCCGCGCACCTGTCGCACGCGGCGCACTTGGCGCGCCTGGCGCACCCCCTGCACCTCTGGGCGGGGTCGGCGGATCCTGTCCATGGATGCCGCTCGCGCGGCATTGTTGGACATGTGCAAACATGCATAAAAACCACACTGAACCTACAGTGAACCATCAGTGAACCAACAGTGAACCAACAGTGAACCATTGCAAATTACATAGTGAACCTCCATTTTTATGTATAAAAAAAAAGTTCCTTACTCTTTGTTAAAATAGAATTCGAGGTTCACTATGGTTTTTACGAAGGTTCACTGTTGGTTCACTGTTGGTTCACTGTTGGTTCACTGTTGGTTCACTATGTTTTTTGCTGCATGTCTCGTGCGAGGGGCTCTCCGGGGCCGCCAGGGCGCTGGCGCCTGGGGGGCCTCGGCGGACACAATCATAATGCCAAGATCAGGTACTTTCGACTACGTCTGCTGGCCCTGTAGCCGCAAGGGCGGTGGACGCACGGATTGGTCTTGATCGTGGACCGCGACTGGCTCCCTTCCCGCGCCCCACGTCGCTCGCGCGGGTCAACCGAGGCGCGGGCCGCTACGGGCCGCCCGCCGCCCCGGCCCGCTGCGGTCTGCGCCGCGGTCGCCCGCCGCCCTGGCCCGCCGCGAATCGCGCCGCGGCCGCCCGACGAAACCGCGCGCGCGCTCAGTTCCCACCGCCCTCGGCGAAGTGGCCGCCCTTCGCCTCGACCAACAAGCCGCAGCGCTTGTGCAGGCTGCCCATGATGCTGTGGATGCACTCAGAAGGCGTCGCCAACGCCGTGCGGCGCAGCCGGGCCAGGTACTGCGCCCGCGTCTCCGTCTTGCTCGCGGGCCAGTCCTTCTCCTGCCCCCTCATGCGCTTGTTCAGATTGGCCCAGAAGGCGAAATCAAGCGGCATCAGATCAGGGGACCGCTTCGGCAAGTCCAACGTCTGGATGCCAGCGGACTTCTTCGCCGCCATGCCCGAGCGAGATTTGTAGCCCGTGGGGTCGTTGTCTTCCATGACGCGGAACTTGCCGCGCACGGAAGGGTAGGCCCTCTTCAAAGCGGGCTGGAGCGCCCCCGAGTACATTCGCCCCGCGGCTGCGGCGTTCCACCTGCCGACCACCTGGTGCCACATCAACACCTTGCCCGCGCCGATGGCGCACGCGATGGTCACGGAGCCCTTGCCCGAACTCTGCTTCAGAACCTGGGGGCGAGCCAAATCAGAGCGCGCCGTCGGCCACTGGCCTGGCGCTGAGTGGCCGCGGCGCGGTCTCCGATTTGCGCCAGCCCGAGAACCTTAGGGTTGCTCGGCTTGACGTGGCCCACGGAGAAGTCCCGCTTGCGCTTCCTGTACACCCCGCGAACCTTGCGCTTTGCCGCCACCTTCCTGTACTTCGCATTGGGCAGCACCTGGAACACCTTGTTGTCCATGCACGCGTGGACGTACTGTGACCACTGGCTGGGGCTCCGGTGCTTGTGCTCGCGGGCCCACTGCAGGCGCTCCTTCTTGTCCCCATCAGAAAGGTCAGGCTTCTCGTACAGCGGGCGGAACTGGTAGCCATTCTCAGCAAACGCGCGGCGCACTGTCTTGATGTCGCATGTCAACTTCATCTCGGACTTCAGCATGGCTGCCGTCACTTCCTTTGTGCCGCCCGAGGACTTCAGAAGCTTCTTGTAAGCGCGCTGGGCAGCGAGAAACCCTTTGGGGGTGCGGATGGAATGCTTCGGGCGGCCCTTGGACTTCTTGGTCGTGTTCTTTTTGAACAAATGCTTCGAGACGGTGTCCGTGGAGCGGCTCAAGGCCGCGGCGATCCTCTTGACGCCCATGCCGCTGTCATGCAAGCGGCGCATTGCGACGTGCTCGTCGGCAGATACATGAGTGAAGGATTTCGGCGACATTCTCCGGCTGTGGAGACAACGACGGGCCAAATGCGCTCGGTCCAGAAAGCGCTGCGGTCATCCTTCCAACGGGGGCATCCTGAAAATGGATGCAGTCCAGTGAGCGAGGGCATCCTATATCTCGGATGCCCTTTTTTCCATTAGTAGCGCCATAGGTTCGGGTGGCTTCTGTCCGTGAAAATGGTCTAGATCTGCGCGACATGCGCGCGCAGGTGCGCAAGGGGGATCCATTTTGGGATCCCCCCTCGCTGCTGCTTCGTCGGCTGCCCTGTGGCTGTATCGTTGGCTGCCTGGTTCCTGGTGGCCTGCCTGCTCGGCTGCCTGTTGGCTGCCTTGCTGGCTGCCTCGATGGCTGCCTCGTTGGCTGCTTTGTTGGCTGTCTCGTTGGCTGCCTCGTTGGTTGTCTCGTTGGCTGCCTCGTTGGTTGCCTTGCCGGGTGCTGTGTCGGTGGCCTCGTTGGTTGCCTTGCTGGCTGCCCTGTCGACCGCCTCGCTGCCTGGCTGGCTGCCTCGTGGGCTACCTCGTTGGCTGCCTCGTGCCTCGTGGGCTACCTCGTTGGCCGCCTCGCTGGCTGCTTCGCCAGTTGCCTCGACGGCTGTTTTTTTGGCTGCCCCGCGGGCTGCCTCGTCGGAGGCCTCGTTGGCCGCCTCGCTGGGTGCCTCATAGGCTGCTTCGTTGGCTGCCTTGTTGGCTGCCTCGCCAGCTGCTTTCCTGAAAGCCTACCAGACAACGCCCCCATCAATATCACGAGCAAGCGCCTATCCATCTGCCATGGCGACGATGAAGGGAGCGTGGTAACCCAGGACCCAAGGACGGCGAACGAAGGAACAGCATGTGCAGAGAAAAAATCGCAATCATGTGTATGCGCTGACTATATCACCCTGGGTAGGAATAAACCGACCCGTTCGCAGCCTGGGGAACGATGGGGCCTCGGAGGCCTCAGGATGGCTCAAGGCAGCCCTCCACAGGACCGTCTCCAGCTTTCGATAATGCACCCGATGTCTGTTGTGGACGGTGGGACGACAGCAACATGTAACCCTGGGCAGGCAAAATCGAACTTCCCGCAGCTCCGGTAATCCATGGGGCCTCCGAGGCCTCCAGGACGGCCCAAGGCAGCCCTTCACAGGACCGTCTCCTTCCATCCCTCTTTCGGCCCCCTCCGATCCCCTCCCCTCCCCGTTCCCTTCCCCTCCCCTCCCCTCCTCCCCATGCCCTCTCTTCCCCTCCCATCGCCTCTTCGTCCCTGCCTCCTCTGATTCACTCCTCCCGCACCTGCTTAGAAATCCTCCACGCTCCACCGCTTGATCCTCCTCCCCACCACCTCCCATCCTCATCCTTCTCATTCCTCCTGTCTCTCACTACTGTTCCTTGTCCTCCGCATCCTCATCCTCATCCCCATCCTCCTCTTCCTCCTCATCCTGATCCTTATCCTCCTCATCCTTCGCTTCCTCCTCCACCTTCTCCCCCAAGTCATGGGATCTTGGATTTATGAGGGTCGCTTTGAGCAATGTGCAGAGCTACACAAACCTTGCCATGGACATCCCCCATCTTGTTTTGCAGGTGGGAGTAGGGAGGAGGGAGAGGAGGAGACTGTACAGATGCCACAAACGTCAGCATTACAATCACAATCGCCCTCATCGGCGGCATCATCTCCACCATCATCTCCACCATCATCATCATCATCATCATCATCATCATCATCATCACCATCATCAGTATCAGCATCATCAGCAGCAGCATCATCACCCACAACCCTCAAGGAGGAACGAGGAACAGGAGGGAGGAGGGGGGGGAGGAGAACGAGGAGAAGGAATAGGAGGAAGATGGAGGTTCCGCTCCTGGGCGTAAGACGCTGGGGTTATAGTGTTGGCTTCCAGCTGCATACTAGTCGCACGCAAATCTTGGAAACGGCGCCCCAGAGACACGCAGATAATCAAAACGCTGCAACGACACGCGCCTCAAAAACAATCTCCGACGACATCGAGTGTCCGAAAAAAATCATTCAAGCCCTTGCAAACGACATCGGTTGCCCCAAAAAAACAATCTAGGCCCTTGCAAACAGCACGCGCTGTTCCGAAACAACAATATGCCATGTAATGGTTTTTCCGATTGTGTATTTTGATCCAACAATCATCACATTCCTTCTCCTCTCGCCGACCCCCTTGCCACCCGCCGCTCCCTCCGCCACCCCCCACAGACCCCCAGGGGGGCGCAGGGCGTTCCAGGTGGGCCCGAGGGTGATTCGCGAACGCTACCCCTCAAAAAACATAAATCACCCCAGCCACCTGGAGGACCATATTATATAAAAACATGGTGCTGAAGAGGCCTGGAGAGGCGGGGACGGGCGGACAGTGAGGATGAGGGTGGAGGGATGAGAAGAGAGAGGAAGAGGACATTGTGCGATCGAGTTGCGTCGGTCAGTTTCTCTGGGCGGCCCCGCAAGGCCCGCTCGTCATTCTCTCTGGCGCGGCTGTCTCTCTGGGCCCGCGCGGGGCCTCGATGGCGAGCGCAGGGTTTACCCTGCCGCTGCTCAGAAAACGCTGGCTCGAGGGGCCCCTTTCGGGTTCGGAGAAGCTCTCGGGAGCGAGGGTCGAAACCATCATCATGCTGTAGGCAGGTCCTGAGGCCTAAGCGCCCCCCTCCTGGGACCTCTCGGCCGCGGGACCCCCCGACGCCGACCAGCGGCTCGGCGACGGATGAGGGGTGGGATAGTTGAGTGGAATTGGGAATGGGGAGGGGGAAGGTGGACGAACGCGGAGGGCGGGGGGGGACAGTGACAATTGCTTGCATGGGGGAAGGATCAGAGGACGAGGAGACGCAGGATGTCTGGGCTGGTGGAGGTGGCGGTTTGGAGGAGGAGGGCCCTTCCTCCTCCAGGCTCCAGGCGCCAGGCGGGGCAACGCGGTCGACGATCCCACGGGCGTCGAGCATCTCGCCGCCTATCTCCGCCCTCTGCGGGGGCGAAGGGCGGGACGTCACACGGCGTCGTGGACCACCCCTTGCGTCGAGGCGAGCACGACGCCCCAAAAAAGCAACCCAACGGCACTTGGATGCATCCAGGAGCCGTCGACACAGCAACTCCATCATCGACCAAACTTCCCGTCCCAACAACCTGCTCAACTCAAATAATGATATAACCACCCCTGCTACCACTGAGCTATCACACTGGTCCCCCTGTCCTGCCTCCCTCCCGACTCTGGTCGAGCGAGCTGCGGGCACGCCACGTCTGAATGGCGGCGGCCATCACTTGAAGACCAGCGCGTCGCTGGCCTTCTTGGACAACACCGATGGCACGATGTCGCCGAGCCCCTTGTTGAACTTCGCCAGCTCCGACTGCACCGCCATCGCAGCCTTGCGCAAGGCCACCTTGTCGACCTGCTCCGAAAATGCCTTCAGAAGGAAGGCGGACGCCCAGACCAGAATGCACGTGGCAGCGAGCTGCTTGCCTTCACTGAGGACCGTGCCCTCGACTTGCAGCTCGTACTTCTTGGCCCACTCGGCGATGCGGCGCGCCTCCTGCGGGGCGACCCGCGAAATGCGAGGCCGCGCACGGGGGCGGGCTCAAGGACGAGGGGGGCACCAGAAACACAATGCCACCAATGGGGGCTGACAACAGTGAATGGCGCTGAGGGTGGAGAGAGAAAACCGCCCTCATCTCCCTCATCGTTCTCCTCCCCCCTCCTCCCACTACGTCCTCATCTTCCTCCCCCCCCTCCTCCTGAGAAGCGGGCGGTTGGGCGCCCGTCGCGGTCCTCCACGGCTGCCGCGACCTTCTTGCGGAGGCCAACGGCGACGCCGTCGGCCAGCAAAGTGGCCACCCCCACGCTCTTGATCTTGTCCCACTTCTCCGTGGCACCTGACGCGGACAGCCCGTCCACCCAGTCGGCGCCGTTCTTCAGGCCGCCCTTGAGTCCGTCCAGCTCCGCCAGGATGCCGCTCTGGTACTTCAGCACGAGGGCCTTGAGGCCGTAGTTGGCAACCTCGTCGACAAGCGTGCGCGCGACGGTACACTGCACCACCGCCATGTCCACCAAGGCGGCATCACCTACGACGTCGGGGAACGAATCCTTCTGCATGAGCGAGGACAGCGCGGTGGTGCACCCCTTCAGCCCTGAGAGGCCGTCGCACTGGTACGCGGCGTCGAGATCTATGCCGTTGCCGTCGCCCGCGGCGTGCTTCGCCTTGAACTCCGCCAGGCGAACTGCCAACGCATTGTGCTGCCTGAGGACGTCCACCACACCCTTGTGGATGACGCTCTGGGGCATGATGTCCAGGGCGGCAGCGAGCGCGTTCAAAGCCGCAGTGCGCATCGCCTCGCTGTGAACGGACACGTCGATAGCTATTTTGATGCACCTGGCGGCCAGCGTCTCCAAGTGATGCTGCACGGTCTCGCTGACGGCGACCGAGCCCCTGACCTGCTCCATGCCGCGCTGCGCGGTCTCCATGATCTCCTGAGTGAGGTCGGTCGCATCGGCAGCAGCCTGGACTGCGATAGCGAAGCTGGCGACCGTTGCTTGTGACCTCAGAGAGACGATCAGGTCGGCGGCTTCGGACTCCGCGTCGAGGAAGCACGGCAAGTCGTGCCACACGAGACGCTGATACGACACCATCTTGCTGAACGCTTCCGCCTCTACCTCCGAAGCAGCGTCGCGATGAGCGCGATCCAGAAATCTCTTGACGACAACCTCTGCTTTCATGAGGGCCCGACCCTTCAAGCCGTCTCCGAACATCGAGCCAAGGGCATCCACCATAGCCAACATGTCTTTGGCGATGTTCCCGTGGCACTCGAGCACCTTACGCCATTCCTCGGTCGAACTGAGGGTCGTGAGGTCGTCGGCCGTCAGCGCCGAATGTAGGTATGCTAACTGGCGGCCCATGGACTGCATCCCCTGCGACGCCTTGGATAAGTCGGACAGCAAGTCCATGTAGACGGGTGTCGCGCTGATGGGCCTCACGATCCTTGACACGATCGGGTCGGTGGACTTCTGATCGCTCAAGAGGGCGACGTGGACCTTGACCTTCTCAGAAATGTCGTCCAATGTCATGGCAGATGCGTCGCCCGTAAGAAAAGCCAGCGCGTCGAATGCCTCCGACAAGGAACAGAAGAACCGCATGTACTCGTCGGGCATATCCTCAGCAACAACGAGGGCGACCCTCTCGCGGGCCGCTGACAAAGCGGCAGAGAAAAGCTGACGCGACTCGTCCCCTTGCTGCAAGATAGGGCAAAGCCAACTGTCCATGAACGACGTCATGAACGAGTGGGTCTTGACAGCCGCCTCCACGTCCAGAGCGCACAGCCGCGGCGAATCGCTGTCGAACTCGTCGTCGCAGCTGGGGTCGAAGGGCAAACAATCGCCGAAGAACGTGCTGAAGGTAGCTGCATCCCGTACGTGGCCCATCGACTTCTTCGCAGCCCTCATGCAAAGTTTGAGGTTGACAGCGGGTGGCAGCTTCCCGTCAAAGTGGATCATGTACCTGACTGCCTTCGCCACCTCGGCGTCCGTGAAGCTGTCCTGATGCCGAACTGATACGATGTGTGCCATCTCAAACTTCGCGATCCTGGACTTCAAGTCAGACATCCCGTTGCCCCACTTTGCGGCGTTCTCAGAATTTTCACGCACCCACTTCTGGGCGTGAGACAGCAAGTTCCCCAAGTTCCCCTGCAGCATCTCAGCCTCGCAATTCAGGTTCGATATGTGCTTGTACGGGCCCTGGCGCATATCACTCACGCTGCCCGTCGCACTGACATTGCCGACCTGAGTAGACCCCGCGACCGATGCAACGTCATCCAAGATGGCAATGTCACCTGCGCTGCCAGGCGACGCCTCCAGAGGGGCTGCAGGCATCTTCTGCACGCGCCTCCGCTTGTTGGCACCCCCAGCAGCATCCGCGCCCTTGCCGAAAGCGGACGGCAACTGGATCACGGGGGCCAGGGCCAGGGAGGCGTCGAGCGCACCGCCGCCGCCGCCAATCGCCGCCTCGAGGCGCTCAACAAGGCCGCCACCTGCATGCGCCGCTGCGGCAGGCGGCGCTGCCTCATCAAACTCAGCGGCGGGGGCGTCGTGGCTGCCAACCGCCTGGTGCGGGTCGATCGGGGGCAAGCCGTATTTCTCTCTGGTGTCGTTGATGGTTGGAAGGTCCTTGCCCACCACGTCGAAGTCGAACTCAGCATTCTGGTCGGCAAGCCCCTTGTTGTAAAAGTCCGCCACCTGACCAAGGTAGAAGACGTCTTCTGGCCGCACAGGGGTCGAGCCAGCGGTAACCTTGTGGAAGGTGGTGAAGCTCATTGTGCGGCGTGCGCCAGGAAATACTTCAAACAACCATACCTTTTCCTGTTCACCAGAAGTCGCACCACGAACAGGCAGCATCATCGTCGGGTGGTGGCGCACCAAGCGCTGCAACGGCTCCTGGCCGTCATGGTGGTACTTGAACTCAAGCCTGTTCAAGATGGCAACCTTGCGCTTCACCTTGACCATGCTGCCGAAACCGACCGAGACGTTGTCCCCCTGCCCCATCTGGCTGACCGTGTCGAGCGAGGTGCGGTTGGCGCGGCTGGCCCAAGCCGCCTCCGCCTCTTGGACTTGCTGTCTGAATGTGCTGTCCTGGGCAGCCCTGCTGTTCTTGCGGGCGATGACCTCGTTGATCGGCATGTGCGAGAAGACGCGGATGTAGAGCTCGGCGATGCTGCGCGTGACGGCCACGGGGTTGCCATCGCCACCAGCGATCTGGATCTGCGGGTTCTCCTCGGGATCGGGGGGGCACGAATCGGACAAGCAGAGGGCCGAAGCCAGCAAGCCCCGCGCTTGCCTCCCTGTCAACAAGTCGACTGTCGAACCCCACCGACATCAACGATGTCACGAACCCATGGAACAACACCTGGAGCCCCTGGGCTGGATCGAAACAACTGCCTGGTCGAATCGGGTGACCGTCGAAAACATTCGGCTACACGTAGCTCTCGGACGTCGGGCGGCGTCGGCCTCGGACCCTTCAAAAGCAGCTCCAGAACCCACGGCACAGGACAACTTATCACGAGTGGCCTGCATAACTTGGAACTCCCGATGAAGGGGTCGCAATACCCTGAATCCCAAGTTGTCGCACTTCCCTACGCGAAAGGCGAAAGCCGAAACCATGCCAACATAATGCGGCCGCGATCGAGGAACGCAGCGGCAACCCACGACCACATCACCACTACGAGAAAAGACAACCTCGCATTCCACTGAGCTCATACAGGCGCGGTGGGTAAAGAGGACAAGGGAAATGAGGATGGACTTGGAAGGGCGGAGGTGGAGAGGGCAAGCATGGGGTGGAAGACAGTCGGGGCAGGGCATTGCTAAGACACCAGCCCCCCGTTCCGAAGAGCGGCCCGATGTTAGTTTCACGTAGGAAGGTTCCAAACCTTCAATGTTGCGCGGGGCGGGGAGAACATATCGAGAACTGGTGTTACATGACGTTGGGAGGGTGCTGGATGAGGGCGACGCTTAGGACGGTCATGCGCGCGCGTGCACGTGCAAGTTTGCATGAATACATTGCATAGGCCGTCTGGGGAACGGTTGCCACGTGCAGCTGCATGCGCTGCACCCTGGGTTTGTCAATGAGCGAAGCGACGGTCAAACAAGTGAGGTGGGCGAGACGCGCGCCTCAACGGGGGCATGGGTCCAGAAGGAGAGAGCACGCACATGCGCGGGAGGAGCACGATTTGTTCCTTGGCCCCGCTCACTCGCACAAGGAATGCCCTGGCGCACGTCTTGGGACATGTGTTGGACGAGACCCGTGCTGGGTCCTTGGCAGGCTCTGCAAGGGCACCCGCAAGGCGCCCAAAGAGTTCCCAGAGGCCCACAAGAATGCAACAAGGAGGGCCCGTGGCCAAAGGGGGGCGCCTGATACCTGTTTGGAGCCAACGTCAAATCCTAGTGTGGCGTTATGATGCATCTCGCACGTCCTTCGCGGGGCCCTCGCTGCAACTCTTGGGGGGGGGGGCTCTTCGCTCTGGGTCAAGCACCATCGGCTGTGCATCGGGCCCTCTAACTCACGCGGGCTGCTGCGTTGTTGTGCCCATAGGGTTGAGCCCGACGCGGCTTTCGCTTCAATTTCTCAGGGTGCCTGCCAGGGGCGCCGAACAAGCAGCCCAGAAAGGCAGCGCGCAATCACATCAGGTCGGCTATAGGCGGCCCCATAGGCGAAGCCATGAACATGTAACGCGTGTCGGACGTGCTGTTCGCGCAATCCACAGGGGGGGGCATCCGAGGCGCGATGCGCAGCATGAAGCCAGGGGGGGGACACAGGTCCAATCTTTCTTCAAGAGGGGCATGGCATGTCCCATGAGGGGTGAGCAGAGGCGGCTGTCAAACACATATCGCATGTGTTGGGGCTGCGGGCCGTTGAATACACATGGTGCGGCTTGGGGTTCATTCGAGATCCCTGGGGGGTCGCAGAGAGAGCCCCTAGGGTGGCCAGAACGAGTTCCCAGCGACGCCCCAGAAAACACCGACATACCCACAGAGAGGTCCAAGACGGCCCGCGAGGCGGAGGCGGGCAGCGCACAAGGGCGATATTGAGGGGGGATCCTCATGCCAGCTTCGAGCCCCCAGAGGGCAATGATGATCCTCCTGCCTCGGCGCGCGCCCAGAGGGCAATGCTCGCGCCCCGAGGCAGGAGGATCAGCATTGCCCCCCTGGGGGGCCGAAGCTAGCACGATGTTCCTCCCAAGTTTCGTCCTGGGCCCCCCCTGGGCTCCTCTCATGGCCACAACAGGGTCTCAAGAGGGTTCATCAGGACCCCAGAAGGGGCCTACAACCTGTCACAAACACTGCCCCTTTTCGTAACAGGTTGTTGGGCCATAGTGGAGCACCCGCTGGTTCCCCATGGGCCCTCATTGGCTCCTCGCAGGCCCCCAAGAAAGCCCCAAGAAGGCCAAATAACGCTCGCAAAGGGGCCCACAACCTGTCACGAATACGGCATCCGCTCGTGACAGATTGTCGGTCCCCTTTGGAGCCTCATCGGCGCCCCCTTGGGGCCCCCGCGCGCTCCTCTCAAAGCCCCAAGAGGGCCCAAAGAGGGCTCAAGAGGGCCCCCAAAGGGGCTTACAACCTGTCGCGAAGACGGCACCTTGTCGTGACAGGTTGTTCGGTCATCTTGGAACCATCTTGGGGCCTCCCTGGGCCCCTCGCGGGCTCCTCTCAGAGCCCCACGAGGGCCACAATAGGGCAAACAATATCCCAAAAGGGGCCATCAACCTGCCACGAAGACTGCCCCCTGTCCGCGGCGGGTTGGCGGACATTCTTGGAGCATTCTTGGAGCCCCCCTGCGGCCCCAGCGTGCTCCTCTCAGGGCCCCAAGAGGGCCCCGCTTCGCAGTTGCCATGCACCTGGCAAGTGCAAGGGCGAAGCTGGGGAGGATCATCATGGCAGCGTCGAGCCCCAGAAAGGGCAATGATGATTCTGCTGCCTCGGCGCGCGCCCAGAGGGTCATGCTCGCGCCTCGGGGCAGGAGGGTCACAATTGCCCTCTGGCGAGCTCGAAGCTGGCAGATGATCCTCCCCAGCTGCGCCCTTGTCATCGTCAGCCTCCAGCTCCACAAGACGGCCTCAATGGCTCCCCCAGGTCTCCAACGGCAGCGTGGCCACATTGGGCATTCAGGCCCGCATGCGGCAGCAAGTGGAACGGAACCAGGCATCTCCTGAAGTGCGGCGGGCGGTCCCATGCACACGTGTTAGTAGCCCCGAGGCGTTGTTTATTGTTTAGACCACCCTGCTGATGTCTTGGTGGCGTCGGGGGGGGGGGCTACATGTCCGTCTTGGGGGCATTGGGGCGGAGGGGTGCTGCCCAATATCATAACCCCATCGTTTCCTCTGGAACGGGTGTCGCATCGACTGCCTCCTACCTCCTATGTTACACTGGCAGTGCGAGTCCGACGTCGACTGCACGTGAACGCTCTCGGGGGCAGCCTGGCCCAGACCAGCTCATATAACGCTATGCGACGGGCTCTACGCCACTGGCCGCAAGCCCCGCTTGCACGGGTAGAAGAGAGGAGATAGGGGTATCGGTTGGGGCGCCGTGATGGCAACGACGCGTTGCAATCGAAGAGGAGTGGAGAGAAAGGCGAGGCGATGGAGCGCAACAGAGCTCAGGCGCGTCGGCACCCCCCCCAGCAGGCCTATGTCAATGACATGTCCAGCCGATATCACGCCAGGGCAGCTCAATCACTGTCGGAATTGCTTGAATCTTGGCTGTCAGCCAGGTCAACCTTATCATTGCCGTCAGCCCCGAACGGCTGGCGAATCGGCAGAATCACACTCGGCCTGACAATGAGCAAATCGATGCGGGGCCAGTACTCTGACGGGGGAATCGGCTCCGCTCCAACGTAGCTGTGGCTGAAGTAAGAGTGGCCGACCTCGAGCGGGATCTTGACACCACCAGGGCCGCCGCCCACACGGGCGGCATCGGGAAGTTCGATGCGACTGCGCCTGATGTGGCTCGGCTCGATGTCGGGCAGCGGGATCGCGCGGCGGTAAATCGGCGGCAGGGTCTTCGGGCACGGGACCGTGTTGGGCGTGAACCCGAGGTTGTGGTCGTACTCATGGTCGCCCTGTAAGAACTCGTCTTCGGAATACGCAGTGGTCAAGCGGTCCCACTCGTAGTCGTTCTCGCCGTTGGCGTCGTGTCGTGGTGCCGTCGTGTAGTCGCCGCCGTCGGTCAGGGTGCCTTTCTGCACGTTCGACTCGGAGTGGCGATCGGCTAGCTTTTTGAGCTCGGACCTCAAAGCACCAAGGTCGCACTCCATGGCGTCGGCGCGCTTCTCGACTATCTCCAAACGCTGCTGCGCCTCTCGGGGCACTCGAAAATGCGCCACCCCTCTCCTCATCCTCCTCCCCCTTCTCCTATACCCGAAGCCACTCCACCCCTCCCCTCCTCTCCCTCCTCCTCCTCCCTCCTCCCTCCTCCCCCTTCCCTCCTCTCCCTCCTGCTCATCTCCCTCTCCCTCATCCTCCTCCTCCCCCATCCTCCCTCCTCCTCCTCTCCCTCCTCCCTCCTCCATCACCTCCTCTCCCTCCTCCTCCTCCTCCTCCTCCTCCTCACCCTCCCCACCTCCTCTCTCGCTCAATCGATCCCGCTCATAAGCCGAGCCTCTCGCAACAGCTCGTGCAATCTCTGCTTTTTCGGCGCGTAGCCGTCCTCGGAGGGCGTCTCTGGGCGCGAATGGTCGGGCACAGGGGGGCGATGCAAGGGCGCGGGGTCGACCTCCATCGACGCCATCGGCCTGTCGGGCCTTGTGGGTAGGAAGGAGCGGGCGAGCTGCGCGCCTGGAAGCCCAATGGTGGGCGTCGGCGGAGATAAAGTTAGAACGTGCTGAAACTGCCGCGGCTGGAGGAAATCACGAGCGGGCAATCGGCAAAGCCGATCGAGGGCAAACGGCGAGGCCAGGCTGTTCGCCACATCCGACCCAGGAGGAGGAGGAAGCGAGGCAGGTGAAGGAGGAGGAGGAAGTGAGACCGTTCGCCAAATCCGACCCAGGAGGAGGAGGGAGCGCATGGAGGATGAATGAGGCAGGTGAAGTTGGGGAGAGCGAAGGGCGGTGAGATACTTGATGATCGATGCAAGGGAAAGAGAGACTGAGCGGGGGGAGGGCCAGGGCAAGAGCTGGTGCGGGGGAGGGGACACTGGGCCTATCTAGTTCGAAAGACCCTGCTGCAAGCAAAAGCGATGACAGAAAATATAAGGCGGTCCTCGGTGAACTTGGCCCTGCTCCACGCGCACTGGCCAGCGGGCGTGGCGTGCGTCGCCCTCTTGGGGCTGGCCGCGCTCTTCGCCTTGCCCGCGTTGCCGCCCCCGTTGCCCTTGCGCTTGCCGTGTCCGCGGCCTCCGCCAGGGCCCCCTGCAATGGACGACATTGCCTGCTCGGCTGAGGCGGTTGCGATGCAGTTCAGAGCGAAACGAGCTTGCGCACAGCAAAGGAAATCTTGTTTCCTCTAGGGCCTACAACGGCATGCTACGGTGTACCCCGAAGTTACCCAATGCTTGCTTACGCAGGGACCTCCGAGACCCCGATGGGGGAGGGGGGAGACGGGCAGAAAATAACGGGCCCAAGGCGTTTTCAGGTTGGCCCAGCGGGCTATGGGTGGCGGGGTTGAGAAGCCCAACAGGTCTGGAGGTACCCGAGTCGCCGAACAAGAAGGGCCCAAACGGGGGGCGAAAACTATCGGGGAAATCCGAGCAGGCTTGATGTAACTTCGCGAACTCTCATCGGAAGCATGCGGGGTGATCCTTGGGCCTGAGGCTCCTGAGGGGCCCTGGCAGGTGGCCTGAGCGGTCTGGCGGCGGTCGCGCAGGGCCTCAGCGCCTGCCAGGGCGATCGGGGGGGCTGCGGGGCAGGGGGCGCGAGAGCGCGAGGTGGAGGGAATTGAAGGAGAGGGGGGAGGGGTTTGCGATCGACGATGCTCTGAAATCGCATCTGGCTGGACCGCTTTACATGCTAAAGGCGTCCCAGGGGCTGTGGCGCGTGACTCTGGAACCCCGACGACCTGCCAAGTCGCCCCCCCGCGTGATACCAGATGCCCAGAAACCCCCTGTGGCGACACCCCGCGTGTCGCATCGGCAGATTTTCGGCCCCGGAAACGCGAATGTATCGAGGATTGGGACCCCCCGCGTGTCGTTCCTGGGGACGACGCCCCTCCGGTGACACCCCCCGTGTCGTACTGGGGGACCAGAAACGCTTCGTGACACGCCTCAAGTCGCCTGGCAGCCCGCCCCGACGCAAACCGTCTGAGGGCCCCCCCCCGCCCCCTTCTGTCGCACCCCACGCTCGTCCCACCCCCGCGCCCTGCCCCAACCCCCCACTGAACTCGCAACCCTGCCACCTTGGCCCCCGATCCAACCCCCTTTCCACTGCTCCAGCTTCGGCACTCGCTCAGACCTCTGATCGAGGGGGGTCTTCTTGACGAGGGGAGCGGAAACTACAGATGCCATAGGGCCCCCGCCCAGCCGCCCTCCCCCTGGCCCTGCAACCCCTCGCAACAAGAACGTCATCTACACCGAAACTGCGTCGCCGTTTTTGAACCCACAGCCAAACCCCTCCTAATACATCTGACTCAGCACTATCCTCAGCCCCAGTGCGGATCTCGGATGCATTGACATGCACGGAACATTAATGGTCCAGAGCGTGAGAGACTTATGATACGACCCCATGGGTTTTGTAATATAACGCATTTAAATGCAATGCAGTGCACTGGAGTATGCCTGGGACAACCGCGGCAAGCGCTGCTATGCTATGGCATGCTACAACATATCCATGACGGTGGGATTCTACACGCCCTACCATCGAAAAGGTGCAGCGCGAGCTCACGCACGCATTACCGACAAGTGTGCGTCACGCATTTCCTCACCCAAGCCATGTCCAAGCCACTACGTAGCACCCCGCATGTGCAAATGAGAGTGAGGGGCGGAGGAGGCACGACGGAAGACATGACAGTCTCGACGGGCGGGGGGAGCAAGCACGGGGGAGACGTCTGCCACAGAGGGAGGAGGACGATCGGCCCTTACGCCGACATAGGCTAAGAAATATTCGAGCTCTCGCGTCAACCCCAAGCCCATTGATGCGCATGCCTGGAGCGCGCTGGAAAGCCTTGAAGCAAGCTCCGAGAAGGCTCTGAGAGAGCTCCAAAAGGTGCCCAAGAGGTCTCCAGGACGCCCCCACCACAATGAATATGCCATGGAACCACCTATGTTTAAAGAGCGTGGGGAAGACAATGCGGGATCATCCTGGCTGCTTCTCATGGCTTTACCTGGCCGCCCTCGAGACTCGTGCGAACCATGCGCGGCGCCGTCTTGGGAAAAGATTCGCGGCATCTTGGGAGCCGTCTAGAGCCGCCTTGAGACCCTCTAAGTACGGGTGACGGCAAGCACGCAGAACAGAACGACGTCAAGACGCATACCAAGCCACGATCCCCAAGGACCCGAGAACAACGACGGGTCCAATACCCTTGCATGAGGCCCCTAAGGGGCCACCCGAACATAGCAAACCAACAAACACTGAAACACATACTGTTCAAAACTGATGTTTCTCGAATGCGGCATAACTCGTGCTGGAAGCTTCTGTGGCGAGGAAGGTGCGCGCCTCGAACGAAACGGCTGGGCGGATTGCGAACTACCGTCGCCGCAACAGTCCAGCGGACAGTCTGGTCAGCGCGACGCCAAAGCTTCGGCTCGCCCCCATTCTGACCAGCGCTGACCGTCCAACAAATTGACTGCAACTGCTGCGGGCTCAAAAACAAGTTCAACCATACCACTTCGAGAACCACCTCGGCCACGCGCCGAGGGACAGGGTAAGACCGCCCCCCTCACCACGTTGGTGCGACGGCGCTGTGGGACTGCGCAGGGAAAAAAAAACTTCTCCTGGCTAAATCACGTGACTCGAACCTGCGGGCTCCTCGCCCTCGTCAGGGCGGAGGGGCCGCTCCTTGCTAGCGAGCAGCTCGCCGTTGCGGAGTGCTTTCAAGCGCTCCCGAACAACGCAGCGTTGCGCCCTGCTGATGCCCGCAACGAAAAAAGCATCCTGGTGCGCGGCCTTGCAGTCGCACCCTTCGGCGACGAGCCACGCGGCCATGAGGCCGATGGGGCGGCCCTTCGGGCTGCGCAGCCGACCCGCCAGCCCCCCCCCCCCCGCGGGGCTCATCAAGTGGCCTCCGCGAGGCCGAACCTACCAAGAGAGAGGGGTGGCGCGGGGGCGGCTGCAAGAACGGACGAGGTTGTCATGATGAAAAGGGCGGGGGAGGGCCCACGGAATTGTCTGGGCCCCATGCAGACAACGGGGGGGGCGGGTCGCATGACTGAACATCTCACTGAGGCCCCGAGGGTGCACCAACGCACCACCACCCCACATCATACCACACTGCGCCTGTTCCATGCGCGCGTCTACGACGACTCTGCGGGCATCGCCACAACCGTTGCTGCCAGCCCTTCCAATGGGGGGGTGGCGTGGGCTACGAACGGTGCCTCAAGTGGGTCACCCGAGGGATGGCACCGAGAAGGGGGCGCGAGTCCCGCGGCATGCGCTCACAAAAGCACCGAAACACATCAACTTACCTCCCCGCCCAACCACCCAATAAACGCCAAGACGGCCCCCGTCCCAAACATAGGCTGCTCTGCACCAAGATACACACCTGGTGCGCCAAACGAGTCCGCCGAAGCCCTTAAGCATCTGCCCAAACCATCCCCCGAAGGACCACTATCTCCCTCGGTGGTGGGCGCGGGAAGCACGGCCGCAAACACTGCCACAGTGGTGTCCATGGTTGTGTTTCAATGCATCCCAGGGGCCGAGGTTTGGGCCGCACGAAGGCCCCGACCAATATAGGCCTGGCATGGCCCCGACGCAACGGATCTCTGATGTAGCAGCCTCCCCGAGGCCATCGCCATCCACCGCCAGACCCCTGCCCACCGTGTTGGTCAATGTGCATGCGCGCGAAGCGTGTGTGATCGACATAATACCTAGTCATCCTGCACGGCTTCTCACGGTCGGGCGCAAAGTGGCCGCGAGCGCACGTCGCCTCGAAGCGGCCCTTCTGCGTCGCCGTGGGAGGATAGTATCTGATAGCCCCGCCACCTGGCACACGAACTGTGACGACCCCAGGGGGGTCAGGAGGATACTCGTCAACCTGCCCATCATCGTGAACCTCTAGGTCGCCCTCCATGGGCGGTTCGGGGGGAGGCTCCACGTCGTCGATGGCGCCACCCAGGCCGTCGTCGCAGTCGGACTCGCTCCCCCCGTCGGCGCCGCCCTAGGACTGCTAACAGCTAGACGGTTTCAGCATGTGTGTGTGGGTACCCCTCAATCGACGACGGTCGGGGAACGTAGCATTGGTTACGATCGTTTCTAGGGCGAGCCCGCCATAGAGGACCTCACGCGCGAGCCAGACACACCGTGCGACGCGTGCGCATGTCGAATCGCACACGCACGGCGCACGCGCGATCACACGCATGCGGGAGTCCAGGAGGCGCGTGCGTTCGCTCGCGCACGTGTGTATGTAAACTTACCTAGCACACCGCAACATACTGCACGCGCCCACCTACCCGCGCGCGCGCTATACGACTAGGATCACACCCATCATCCCCCATATGTTCGCACCATCGCGCCCGAATGCATCACTGCAGCGGCCACGCAGCACGAGGCCGCGCTGTAGCGCGATGCATAGCGGGCGCGACAGGGAGCGAACATATTCCAAGTTCAGGGTGGGTTTCGACCACATGTTACCGAGCTTGCGTTCTCAATGACGGGGGCCCCAGAGGGTGGTACTCGAAACTGACGTGACTCGCCCTTGTGAGGGTACAGGGGGTGGCAACACGCGCGTTCACGCGCGCGCGCGTGCAGCGAGGTGCATGCGCGCGCCGCCATTCAAGGACCCCCCACCTCTGGTCCCCACTCAGCTTCCCAATCCAGAGTAAATCAAGCACGACCGATTTGAGATGTTGGGGGTGTGACAACTGGCCCCCATCAGGGCCCTCCCCCTCTATCAGGCGGTGGGGAGGCTGGGTATGCAAAAGAAGGCTGTCATCAGAGGGCTGTGCTTTCTTAGCCAACGGGGGGGGGGGGAGCTCGGGGGCGTCAGGCAACCGCTCTACGAATAATGTCTGTCACGGCTAGAATATGACGGCGTGCTTACAACATGCCCCGAGCGTCCTGGACGTCGTCGGCGTCGGACTCGACGGGCTCCACCTCGCTCTCGGGATCGGCGTCGCCATCCTCCAATACGCCGTGGTATGCCTCGTCGGGCTCGGGCGGCTCGTCGACGACCGTCGGGCGTCGACCGCCTCCGCGCTTGGGCGCAGGCGGCGGCGTCCAGAAAGTCAAGGCACCCCTGCATTCATCAAGCTCACGCACCGACACGTCCCCTGGGCAGAACGTCCCGATATGCACAGGGTCCTCAATGATCCCGTACAGCTGCATAGACCACTCCAGGGATGGGTCCAGCGCTCGGAACATGTAGTAATCGAAATACACCAGGTTGGTCGCCTGCGACGGGGAGCAACAACACCATCACAATTCAACAGCCCCACCCCCACCCCCGCTGAGCGACACTCGGCACGTGTCCAGCCGATCGCCCAGGAGCTCGCGAAAGTGGCGGTGGTTGCGAACCTGACAAAGCTAAAAGACACCAGGCCTGGCGCAGGGCCGCGCTCCACTGGACCTCCCAGGGGCTCGTGGGAACTACATCGCCTCAGCGCGCCGAGATGTCAGTCGGCAGTGGTCGGCGCAGCCGATAGTTGGGGTCGGCAAGTTGGGCATCGGGGATTCAATCGGATAAGGGGGCTGCCACAGATAAAGCATCACTCACACGCCCGACGAGGTGGAGGAGGAAAGACGACTGAAAAGAGAGGGTAGGAATGGAGGAGGTGGATGTTGGCTCAATCCTGCTGTCCTCAAGCATGATCTCGCCATCCACCACCTGGGCCCTCTCGGTGCCATCGGCGATCTCCAACGTCAAGAAGGTCGAGCGGTACGGGCTCATGGAGTGCGCCCCGATGTGGAACCACAGGTCGATATCAAGTGCGCCAGTATCACCGCAGAGAACGTCAGTGAACTCGGCACCCCAATCGCCGCCCATATCGTCGAATAGCTGCTTCCGACGCCCGCCGAACCGAACGACGAGTGAGTGTTGCCGCAGTAGTTGCTTCACATGTTCAGGCTTGCACATCACCTTCAGCTGCGCCAAGTATCGGTTTCTCATTTTCCACGTGAGTATGCCGTCGCCCTCGCACAAGCAGATGCCCACCTCGTGGCACGGCGGCGGGCCGACCTTCTTTCTGTCAGGCGCGATGGGCTCCGACAGCTCGTGGAGGACGGGCGTGGACATGGAGTCGAAGTCCGCCAGCATGGCTTGCTTCACGTTCGCGCGCGTGGCGATGTCTGCAGCCAAGGCGACCTTGACCGCAGCTGCCGCCGTCGGGATCAACTCGAATACGATGTCATCCAAATCAGGCACGGGATACAAGAACTCCTTGAAAGGCTGCAACACTGGATTCTTTGCCACGGTCTCATTCAGCAGAGCCACGCCCTGGACCTTGGCCCACTCCCTCAGCACCTTCTGGTCTGCAGCTCGACACCTGCCAGCCTCCTGCATCAGGCGCCGCTGCTCCGACTTCGCCACCACCACCAGCTCGTACAGGCTCCGATTGTTCTGGCGGGCAATGACCGAAGATACTGCTCCAAATGCAGCCCGCCGCCGAGATGTGGGCGCTCGATCTGCGCCATCGTGTTGACCAGCCGCACACCGCCTCGCAAATGCTGCATTTGCTGCCTGCTTCTGCTGAGACCGAAGCTGCCTCGAAGAATAACCAAATATGCCCTCGCCTGGCCGCAGATGTCCCACCTGTTCGTGAGCGCCCTTCGCCATGTTGACATAGAACTGCTTCTCGTCTGGCCCGAGCGCGTTGTAGGTCACGGCAAGGTCCGCGAAGTTCGGCCTCCCCTCAGTCCCGAACGTCTGGTAGCGAACGTAAGCGTGCCACGCGCCAGAAAACCAACGCTCCCTCGGCTCGACTTGGACGCCGTCGGCCTCTACGGAACCGTCGCGCAACCTGTCGGATGCCATGGTGTCCATCACCTTCACAATCGCATTGTTGGCCCCGCGGGCGTGGACACGGTCGCAGACAGCTTCAGCATTCAGTTCGGCAAAGGCCAGCCCAGAACATTGAACCCCACGCATGCGTAGGCATCTCCGAAGGGCAGCGTGCCAGCACTCGATCTTCGCCATGTGGCGCTTTGCGAGCCTGAGTTGGAAGCGCAATGCGGCTTGCGCCTCAGCACTGCGCAAGCCTAAGAGCGCGCCCCCAAACGTGTCCACGAACCTCTTGCTCCAGGGATCGTGCAAACACGGCGGCTTGTTATTGATCTCATCGGCGTCGGCGTCACTCAACAAACACTTGAACGTTGCAACGGGCTCGACCTTATGGCGCAACTTCGCCGTCCTCTCTACCGTGCACAGGCTCCCAGATATAAGCTTGAACGTGAACGCACGCAACTTCATAGTCCTATCGGAGTCGCCAACCAACGCGCCCCAGTGCACCTCGGAGTTCATCATGTCCACGAGGTCGTTCACGAGCACATCGTCGGCCCCGCCCCTGGCAGCCTCGAGCAACTCGAAGCGCCTGCGGGCACGGTGACGATCCACCGCAGACGTAGCCAGCAACGCGCGCGCTTGCGACGCGCGCTGGGCCGTCTCCCACTCCACGGAGCCCTGGTCCAACAGCGCGTCTAGGTACGCCTCGTGGGCAAGAGCGACCTGGATCGTGATCAAGGTCTTGGTGGTCGGATTCGACTCGCACAGCGCCAGGCCGATCGTGATGTCTTGGTTGTTCTGCTCTCTGCGTGCTTTCTCTACGTCTGCATTGTCCGTCGGCTCGGCTCCGTCGCCCTGGGCCTCGCCGCCGTGGACATCGCCGTAGTCTCCGCCTGCGCGTCCGCCTGCGATGCCACCGCCCTCAACTGCCAGCAACGAAGACGAAGCGCCGCCATCAGCTGCGACGCGGGCACCCCTACTGACGCACTTGTCGTTGATCGCTCGAGCTCTCTCGGCGAAACGTCTATACGCAGGAGCGCCCAAACCACAACAAGCATGCGGTAGTGCGAACTGTGACAATGCTTTGGACATGCCCTTCCATTTGGACTTCACGTGCTTCGCGAACAAACAACCAGCAAATATATGACACCGTGCCTTCGCACGGCTGGGCGCGTGGGGGTGGTTCGCGTTTCCCCAGACCGACGACCGAAACAGATATCAGATGGTCTGGCCCCTCTGGCCCTGGGTTCCACTGTCGGCGTTGCCGAGGGGCGCGCTCAAGACTGCACTAGGGGGCGCGACTGGGGCCCCTTAGAACTTCTAGAGGGCATCCAGGGGATGACACAGATGGGGCCCCAGAGGCGAAGGCCCAAACCATCTGATATGTGTTTGCATTGCCCCTCGTGCACGCCATCAGGGGATTGTGACAAGCCCATCGGGCTTCCAAGGCGAACCCGAGAGAGATCTAGGGGGCGAGGGTGGTTCCAAGGGGGGCCCCACCTGGCACCGAGAAGCCTGAGGGGTGTCCGAGAGGGCCCAGCGACGCGGCGACGAGCAACGCAGGTCATTGCAGGATGGCCCCAGGCATGGCCACAACACACGGCCCCAAAAGGTTTGATGAGACCGCGCGCGCGGTCTGATCATATCGCGGTGCTCTCAGTTTCGGCGCGTGTGTTGGTGCGTCTCTGTGTAGAAGTTACTGGCGCGTGCCAGCATTCACTGGCGCATTTCGGCGTCTGTACATTTTTGGAGTAATATTTACCGATGCACTTCGGCGCTCTAGTTTTGCTGGCGCGTCACCGTTTGCTGGCGCAGCTCGGCGCAGTGGTTTCTGGCGTGGGCCGCTGTTCACAGGCGAGCTGCATTGTCCAAGTGTTTGGTGGACCTAGGTTTGCTGATGTACTTCGGCGCGCCAGATTCGGGGGGCAGCCCACATCTCACTGATGCACTTAGGTTACTATGCTTTGGCGCGCGCAACAAGTCACTGACTGACTTCGCGGGCCAGCGCGTCATTGAAACATAACCTGGCTTTGTTTATGAAGTCCTCTTGGGGCGCCACTGGGGGGGGGGGGGCGTTTCGGAAGCGCCTGGACAAGCCGGTGCGCACGTTGCGACGCTAAACAACTATTGACCGTCCCGTGCAACCCTCCTGGGGTGCTCGCGGGGCTCGTTCGACGCTCCTTGGAGCTCTCTCGGGGCCTCTGAAGACCCTGAATGGCGCGCTGGTTGCGCACCCTGGGACCTGCGCCCCCCCAAAATCGGCAACCCGTGGAACGCTCGCGGGCGGCGTCCGACTTCTTGCGGGTGGTCTCATCAAGCCGTGTGGTTGATGAGGCTTCCTGAGGCTCTGCTTGAGCCCTCCTGGGGGGGGGGAGGGGCTGCAGGGCCCTTGGGCGGGCTCGTGGGGGCACTTCTTGGCGCGCCATCGGGGCACCCGCGGGAACCTCAAACTTCGGGGGTTGTGCTCAGGCGTCGGGCCCGCGAACCAGGGACGGCGGTGGGCTATGCCGCAGGCAACTGCATGCGCTTCAAGCTCCACGCCACGGCAGCGGCAATCGCCTGGCGGTCAACAGCGGTCCCAAGCGGGACATACACCTCGACCTTCTCATGGTTTCTCCAATTCCCATTTGGAAGCGTCCTGCACGCAAGGAGAAGCTCGACCTGGCGCGGTGAGTTCTGCAAGCAGATGTTGGTGACGTAATTGCGGTAGGCCGTGTGCTCTATTGGTGGGTTCCCGTACCGAACGTCGAGCCTCTCGAAAACAAGTTCCTCCAATGCCTCCCCATACATAGTGAGGCCAGTACCGAAATTGATGCTCGACGCCCACCGCCTCTGCGACGCAAAGAGGTCGTCGCAAGTCGCTAACGAGTCATGGCAATTGTTGACGGCGGCGTGGATGTCGCATCGGAAGTGGAGGCGTTCCCAACCGAGACCAAGATCTGAAACAACTGCACGCTCTGAACGATCGTTGCTGCCAGCGCCGTCAGCACAGGTGCTCCGCGTGTGGTGCTTGAACCTCACCTGGCTGCCATGGACCATGGACGTTCGATGCCTCCACGCCGCCCGCAAGCACTCACCAGTAGTGCGGTCCAACAACTGCAGCGGGTTCACGCTGTAGCCAATGATACTGATAATATCCTTGCATCCGCCGCTGAATCGGTATGCATACACAGACTCGGACTGGAGAATCTTGGACATCGTGTTCCTCGAACGCGAAATAGATGCCAGCGCACGCTCCAAATGCTGAAGGAAAACGTGGCTGCGAGCAGCAACAACCATCTGATCCGCCATGCCTGAGTTCTGGTGGGGCTGCCACGCTTGCCGACCAACTGCCATCGGAGTCTCATCCTGTCTGTCGAAATCGATCATGTCTAAAAGGCAGTCGCTGCTAACGAGCATCCCAAGACGACGTTCCAAACAACACCGCGCCACCCTGTCACTATACAATAGAGCCGACGCCAGCGACATAACTGAGGGCCCAATTCGTGCGCGATCCACTTTGATGAGATTTGCGAAGGCCTGCTTTGTCAAGACGATGCCACATCCACGATTAAAAAAATGCCCCGATATCTTCGTGATCGGCGAGCCCATGAAATCGACCAGCTGTAATCCTTGAGACCGAAGGGCAAGCTCTTGATACGACTGAAACAATGGCCAGAACTGCGATCTGGCCTGGGTCGGACATCTTGCCAAGGCAAGCGTGCTCGCAGGGACGCCCTTCGTGTCTTTCCGAAGAACGATGGCCGTGGTAGTGGTCGTGGTCCGCTGCTGTTGCTCTCTCCGAGAAACCTTGGCAGCTCGAGCGGTGGCGGCGGCCTGCTGGCGCGACATCGTCGCTGGGGCTGGCGCCTCCGCGGGGAGCTCGATCGACTCAAGCGTGTCCAACGCTGATGCGCTCAGACGGCGCTTCGCCGAGCGCGGCGGCGGACCGCCGCGCGAAGGCTCGGGCGGCGGCATCCCCGACGCTACCAACATCAGTGCTGACTGATCCAGTGCCGTCGCCCCGCCGAGACCATCGGAAAGACCGTCGGCGCCGTTGTCGCCGCAGAGAGCGGCGAACTCTGCGCCCCAAGCATCCGAATCTTCCTCGCCCTGGCTGTCCCCACAGCCGTCTGACATTCGGCCTGGGCGCGGGCTCGCCGCGAAAAGAACAGCGCCAAAATGGCTGCGATGATTGCACGGCAAGCGTTGAAACCGCGATGACGTCCGCTCGACTGGCAAAACAGATAGAATGGAGGAGGAGGGGGAGGAGGTTGGTAACCGACAGGAGGGAGGAAAACGAAAAGAGTGCGGAAGGGGCAAGTGGCGGGATATCAGGGAGGAACGGCACGGGGAGGAACATTGAGAAGGCGCATGAGTGCGTTCCGCCCGTCCCTACAGTCCAGGGGGGGGGGGGGGCAATGCAGGTTGGGTCCCAAACTGTGTTCTCTGATGTTGCATTGGCGTTTGTTACGTATTACTACTGTGTCTGATGATCCCTAGAACCGTTTCGCGTGTCTTCTACATCCCTAAGCTATTCAACTAGGCGGGTGTCTTGCACAAACCGTGGGCCACTTGCAGGGAAGAGCTTGCGGAATTTAACTCGCTTCAAATGATACAAAGCGCGCGCCGAAACATGTATATCAGAAATCAGGACAGGGCGTGTCAGTCGGGAGGGGTGCAGATGATTTGCACGGGAGTCGGCCTGTCAATTTGAGGGGGCTATATTGTTTTAAGATTATTTTTGCCTAGCCCCATGGAAACGACACACCGATTGTTTTTAGATTATTTGCGCTCGTCGCGCTGATTTTCATAGTTGATTAGACCCAGCAGGTGTCTGACAATATAACGCTGGGGCAAGGGGTGAGACGTTTCAGGAGGAGTGCGGAAGGGTCTGGAGGAATGGGAGAACCCCGGAGGATTGGGAGGAGTGCGGAGGGTTGAGGGGAAATGGGTCGGTTGTGGGAGGTGAGGAAGGAGTGCGGAGGCGTGGGGAGGACTGGGAGGGTTGCGGAGGTTTCGGGGGGAGTGCGGATGGGTGGGGAGGAATGGGATGGTGGAAGAAATCTCTTTCGGGAGGAGTGCGGAAGGGGTGGGGAGGAATGGGGCGGTTGCAGAAGGTTTGGGAGGAGTGCGGAGGGATGTGGAAGGATGAAAGGGTTGCGAAGGTGTCGGGAGGAGTGCGGAAGGGCGTGGAGGAATGGGAGGGTTGCGGAGGTCTCTTTCGGGAGGTGTGCGGAGGAGTGGGGAGGAATGGGACGGTTTCACAAGGTTTGGGAGGAGTGCGAGGGGATGTGGAGGCATGGGAGGGTTGCGGAAGTTTCGGGAGGAGTGCGGAGGGGTGTGGAGGAATGGGGGAGGTGCGGATATGTGCGGATGTCCCGGGAGGAGTGCGGGGGAGTGGGGAGACATGGAAGGGCTCCGGAGGTTTCGGGGGGAGTGCGGAGGGATGTGGAGGAATGGGGCGGTTGTGGAGGTTTCGGGAGGAGTGCGGAGGGGCCTGGAGGAATGGGGGAGGTGCGGATGTCTGGGAGGAGTGCAGAGGGATGTGGAATGATAAAAGGGTTGCAGAGGTTTCGGGAGGAGTGCGGAGGGATGTGGGGGAATGGGAGGGTTGCGGAGGTTTTGGGAGGAGTGCGGAGGGATGTGGAGAGATGGTAGAGTTGCGGATGTTCGGGAAAAGTGCGGGGGGGTGGAGAGACTGGCAGGATTGCAAAGGTTTCGGGAAGAGTTCGGAGGGGTGTGGAGGACTGGGACGGTTGCGGAAGGTTTGGGAGGAGTGCACAGGGTGGGGGGGAATGGGACGGATCGCGGATGTTCGGGAGGAGTGCGGAGGGGCGGAACGAATTCGAAGGGATCCGGAGGTTTCGGGAGGAGTGCGGAGGGATGTGGGGGAATGGGAGACTTGCGGAGGTTTTGGGAAGAATGCGGCGGGGTGTGGAGGAATGGGAGAGTTGCGGATGTTCGGGAAGAGTGCGGAAGGGTGAGAAGAATGGCAGGATTGCGGAGTTTCTGGGAAGACTGCGGAGGGGTCTGGGGGAATGGGACGGTTGCGGAAGGTTCGGGAGGAGTGCGGAGGGGTGGGGGGGAGTGGGGCGGTTGCGGAGGTTTCGGGTGGAGTGCGGAAGGGCGTGGAGCAGTTGGGAATAGTGCGGAGGGGCGTGGAGGAATGAGAGGTTTCGGAATTTTTGTTGGCGGAGTGCGGTGGGGTGCGGACGACTGCAGGGGAGTGGCGCGGACTGGGAAGGAGTGGGGGGCCTGCGGAGGAGTTGGGAATGAATGGAATTTAATGGAATGCAGCGGGGGGCCTCTGTCGTAGACCTCGCCCGAGAGGGCCTCCAGGGGGGCCTTGCGAAGATCCACGGGGGCTCCAAGACGACCCCCAAAGAGGCTCCACGCGGACTGACGGACGGGCCCAGAGGCGACAGCACTGGCATCGTCGACGGTGATGGTCGGAGTCGTGCCGGGCCAGAAGCACGACGTGCCCGTGGCGGTCGTGCAACGCTCTAGGGGTCTGCCGAAATTGTCGGGGCGCGGCATGCGGAGTCAGCCATCGGGGCCTTCCGTGGAGTTCCCGATGGGGCAACGAGGTGTGGCAACGACGATAATGGCGACAGTGATGATGGCGATGATGGTGATGATGTCTGCGCGCAGCGACCCCAATCGCACGCGGCAGGACTACTTAGGCTTGAACTTAAGAGCCTCGCTTGTTACGAGGGTCGAGAAACAGCGCGGGCACGGCACTAGCTTCGGGGCCGGCGGCTTGGGAATCGGCACAGTGAATAAGTACAGTTTCAGCCGCCGGAGCAGCATGCCAGCCTGCCCCTGCGGGCGCTGCGACGACTCGGACGAGAGGCCCGCCAGCGCCGTCTCGGGGCAGGTGACAAAAATCGGGGCGGACCCCATGTACACCTTGTGCCCGACGTGCTGGTTCTGGGGCATGGTGATGGGCACGGGCTTGCCCTCCAGCCACAGGAGCTGGATGGACAGGGGGAGGTCCTCATCGATGAACATCCACTCGTCCAGCACCGCGGCCTTGGCCTTGTCCAAGCCGTGGAGGCAAAACTGCCCCCCGCCTGGCCTCTCCTGCACGTGCTCACCGCCGAACAGCGGCCGAACCGCCGAGAAGAGAAGAGACTTCCCCTCTCCGCCGAAGCGCCCAGCCAAGGTGACCACCGGGGCCGCCTCGGACCGACCGTGCTTCAGGGACATCAAGATGCTGCTGCACAGGTCGGGGACGTCGATGCGATTCATCGACAGGCTTTCGCGGACGTGGTGCAACCAGCGGCCGCCGCAAACGCAAGGCGTCCGCAAGGCCTCCTTGAACTGTTGCATGACGGGTTTCGTCGCGTCTTCGAGGAAGCTGTCCACGTTCTCCCACGCCCAGGCCTTGTCGATGATCTTCTCCAGCACGTGCTCGTTCTTGAACATCCAGGCAACCACCTTGTGCGAGCAGGACGTCTTAGCGTACGCCATCAACTTGCGCACTGCGTGGGGGTCGTCCGGAGTATTCCGGATCCCAGACCTGACCACTATCGGCCACAGGTCCACTTCCTCGACGCGAGGCTCTGGCTTCCCCTTCTCGCCCTCGACCTGCTCCCGCGCGGTCCTGCGCTTCTCCAAGGCGCGGGCGGTCGTCGGCTCCCTCTTCGCCGCGGACAGCGGCGGGTGGTCCGCGGGCCAAGCCAAGTAGTCAACGTCCAGGGCGCTCCGCGGCTTCTTGGGCGTCGCGTTCGCGCAGTACCCGACGGCCGACCAGTGCCCGTCGTGGCTGCAGGACCAGTGAGAGGCGAGTTGGTACCTGTTGAGCAAGGCCCGCTTCACGGTCAGGAACTTGCTCTTCTTGCCCAGGTGCAAGGCCACGTGGTAGTGCGCCCGCCGGACGCCTGCCACTGGCGCGTGGTATTCTTTGAATACCACCAGCTTCTTGACCCCGACGGGCGCGGCCCCCTGCCCGCGGTGGCTTGCGAGCCACGCGGGGTCGGCGTCCGGAGCGCCGCAGCAATCCAGGAAAGCGTCGCGGACCTCCTCCCGCGAGAAAGCCGCTGGCGCTCTGAGACCCTCCTTGTCCGTGTGCGGCAGAGTCACCAAGTAGACCTCCCGCGAGGCGTTCCTGTTCTCCTCGCCGACGACGTGCTCGAGGAGCGCCGTCTGCTGGCTCTGCTTCCCCACGAGCCTGCGGCGCTTCTCTGGCCTGTCCACCGAGAGCGCCATCCCCCCGCGCGACCCGGCCAGGGCCAGCCCCCGCCCCGCTGAGCCGACAGGCTACAGAGAAAAACGCAATGCGGACCGTCGGGGTCTTCGGGGGCATCGTAAACCGCCGCCTGGCTGCTCAGTTGGGGAGCTCGTTGCACCTGGCGTCGTCTGCGCACCTGTCGCACTTGGGCGCGCCCCGTTCACCTGGCGCGTGTGGCCCACCTGTCGCGTGCCGCGCACCTGTCGCACGCGGCGCACTTGGCGCGCCTGGCGCGCCCCCTGCACCTCTGGGCGGGGTCGGCGGATCCTGTCCATGGATGCCGCTCGCGCGGCATTGTTGGACATGTGCAAACATGCATAAAAACCATACTGAACCTACAGTGAACCATCAGTGAACCAACAGTGAACCAACAGTGAACCATTGCAAATTACATAGTGAACCTCCATTTTTATATATAAAAAAAAGTTCCCTACTCTTTTTTAATAGAATTCGAGGTTCACTATGGTTTTTACGAAGGTTCACTGTTGGTTCACTGTTGGTTCACTGTTGGTTCACTGTTGGTTCACTATGTTTTTTGCTGCATGTCTCGTGCGAGGGGCTCTCTGGGGCCGCCAGGGCGCTGGCGCCTGGGGGGCCTCGGCGGACACAATCATAATGCCAAGATCAGGTACTTTCGACTACGTCTGCTGGCCCTGTAGCCGCAAGGGCGGTGGACGCACGGATTGGTCTTGATCGTGGACCGCGACTGGCTCCCTTCCCGCGCCCCACGTCGCTCGCGCGGGTCAACCGAGGCGCGGGCCGCTGCGGGCCGCCCGCCGCCCCGGCCCGCTGCGGTCTGCGCCGCGGTCGCCCGCCGCCCTGGCCCGCCGCGAATCGCGCCGCGGCCGCCCGACGAAACCGCGCGCGCGCTCAGTTCCCACCGCCCTCGGCGAAGTGGCCGCCCTTCGCCTCGACCAACAAGCCGCAGCGCTTGTGCAGGCTGCCCATGATGCTGTGGATGTACTCAGAAGGCGTCGCCAACGCCGTGCGGCGCAGCCGGGCCAGGTACTGCGCCCGCGTCTCCGTCTTGCTCGCGGGCCAGTCCTTCTCCTGCCCCCTCATGCGCTTGTTCAGATTGGCCCAGAAGGCGAAATCAAGCGGCATCAGATCAGGGGACCGCTTCGGCAAGTCCAACGTCTGGATGCCAGCGGACTTCTTCGCCGCCATGCCCGAGCGAGATTTGTAGCCCGTGGGGTCGTTGTCTTCCATGACGCGGAACTTGCCGCGCACGGAAGGGTAGGCCCTCTTCAAAGCGGGCTGGAGCGCCCCCGAGTACATTCGCCCCGCGGCTGCGGCGTTCCACCTGCCGACCACCTGGTGCCACATCAACACCTTGCCCGCGCCGATGGCGCACGCGATGGTCACGGAGCCCTTGCCCGAACTCTGCTTCAGAACCTGGGGGCGAGCCAAATCAGAGCGCGCCGTCGGCCACTGGCCTGGCGCTGAGTGGCCGCGGCGCGGTCTCCGATTTGCGCCAGCCCGAGAACCTTAGGGTTGCTCGGCTTGACGTGGCCCACGGAGAAGTCCCGCTTGCGCTTCCTGTACACCCCGCGAACCTTGCGCTTTGCCGCCACCTTCCTGTACTTCGCATTGGGCAGCACCTGGAACACCTTGTTGTCCATGCACGCGTGGACGTACTGTGACCACTGGCTGGGGCTCCGGTGCTTGTGCTCGCGGGCCCACTGCAGGCGCTCCTTCTTGTCCCCATCAGAAAGGTCAGGCTTCTCGTACAGCGGGCGGAACTGGTAGCCATTCTCAGCAAACGCGCGGCGCACTGTCTTGATGTCGCATGTCAACTTCATCTCGGACTTCAGCATGGCTGCCGTCACTTCCTTTGTGCCGCCCGAGGACTTCAGAAGCTTCTTGTAAGCGCGCTGGGCAGCGAGAAACCCTTTGGGGGTGCGGATGGAATGCTTCGGGCGGCCCTTGGACTTCTTGGTCGTGTTCTTTTTGAACAAATGCTTCGAGACGGTGTCCGTGGAGCGGCTCAAGGCCGCGGCGATCCTCTTGACGCCCATGCCGCTGTCATGCAAGCGGCGCATTGCGACGTGCTCGTCGGCAGATACATGAGTGAAGGATTTCGGCGACATTCTCCGGCTGTGGAGACAACGACGGGCCAAATGCGCTCGGTCCAGAAAGCGCTGCGGTCATCCTTCCAACGGGGGCATCCTGAAAATGGATGCAGTCCAGTGAGCGAGGGCATCCTATATCTCGGATGCCCTTTTTTCCATTAGTAGCGCCATAGGTTCGGGTGGCTTCTGTCCGTGAAAATGGTCTAGATCTGCGCGACATGCGCGCGCAGGTGCGCAAGGGGGATCCATTTTGGGATCCCCCCTCGCTGCTGCTTCGTCGGCTGCCCTGTGGCTGTATCGTTGGCTGCCTGGTTCCTGGTGGCCTGCCTGCTCGGCTGCCTGTTGGCTGCCTTGCTGGCTGCCTCGATGGCTGCCTCGTTGGCTGCTTTGTTGGCTGTCTCGTTGGCTGCCTCGTTGGTTGTCTCGTTGGCTGCCTCGTTGGTTGCCTTGCCGGGTGCTGTGTCGGTGGCCTCGTTGGTTGCCTTGCTGGCTGCCCTGTCGACCGCCTCGCTGCCTGGCTGGCTGCCTCGTGGGCTACCTCGTTGGCTGCCTCGTGCCTCGTGGGCTACCTCGTTGGCCGCCTCGCTGGCTGCTTCGCCAGTTGCCTCGACGGCTGTTTTTTTAGCTGCCCCGCGGGCTGCCTCGTCGGAGGCCTCGTTGGCCGCCTCGCTGGGTGCCTCATAGGCTGCTTCGTTGGCTGCCTTGTTGGCTGCCTCGCCAGCTGCTTTCCTGAAAGCCTACCAGACAAAGCCCCCATCAATATCACGAGCAAGCGCCTATCCATCTGCCATGGCGACGATGAAGGGAGCGTGGTAACCCAGGACCCAAGGACGGCGAACAAAGGAACAGCATGTGCAGAGAAAAAATCGCAATCATGTGTATGCGCTGACTATATCACCCTGGGTAGGAATAAACCGACCCGTTCGCAGCATGGGGAACGATGGGGCCTCGGAGGCCTCAGGATGGCTCAAGGCAGCCCTCCACAGGACCGTCTCCAGCTTTCGATAATGCACCCGATGTCTGTTGTGGACGGTGGGACGACAGCAACATGTAACCCTGGGCAGGCAAAATCGAACTTCCCGCAGCTCCGGTAATCCATGGGGCCTCCGAGGCCTCCAGGACGGCCCAAGGCAGCCCTTCACAGGACCGTCTCCTTCCATCCCTCTTTCGGCCCCCTCCGATCCCCTCCCCTCCCCGTTCCCTTCCCCTCCCCTCCCCTCCTCCCCATGCCCTCTCTTCCCCTCCCATCGCCTCTTCGTCCCTGCCTCCTCTGATTCACTCCTCCCGCACCTGCTTAGAAATCCTCCACGCTCCACCGCTTGATCCTCCTCTCCACCACCTCCCATCCTCATCCTTCTCATTCCGGAAGGCAGAGGCACGGGGGTGACTGTGCACCGAAATCGGGCTCGGAGTGGGCCTTGCCAGGGTGAGCCGCGAGGGCCCCGCAAGTTGGGCACCAGAGCGCCGGCCACGTGAAACATTAGAGAATACGATCAGACGACGCCCAGCTGAGCAGATGTGCGGACACAGACGACGGGGTGACTGTGGACACCGACAACTGCACGCAGTGCTTCAACACCTTTGCAACGGCTGCCCCCTCTGGGCAGTTCCTCTTCACAGGCTGCTGCTGATTCTCCCTCCGCAAGGGTGGGCCTCTCGCCAGCCTAAGTTTGATTGGCCTTTGGAGGTGCCAGGGCGTCGAGCCCCGAAAAAATCACCCACAATCTTGCCTCCTCCATCCTCTCTCCCCTCTTCTCCCATTCTCCATCCCTCAACACCGCGGAAACAAGGACGGGAAGGGTGAACGTGGAAAGACGACTGGGGATGAAGGGGCAAGCACGATGAAGGCAACGATGGAATTGGTGATGATACTGAAGATGATGGTGATGTTGATGATGAGCTGATGTTGATGATGTTGATGTTGCTGATGAGGTTGATCATGGTGCGGACGGGCGGCGGTGAAGACGATGGCAACGACGACGCTGACAACTACACGAACTGTGACGCTGATGATGGCGATGACGATGTAGACGATGAAGAGGGCTTTGGCAAAGACGAAAACGATGATGACGAGGACAAAGACGATGACGATGATAATGATGACGATGGTGATAATGATGATGATGGTGGTGGTGATGACGGTGGTGTTGAAATTAATACGAACAATAAAGATTATAAGGAAATAAGGATCTTACATATATTGGTAATCAAAATGACAATAACAACAGTACAGATGATGATGCTGATGGTGATGGTGCTGATGATGATGCTGATGATGATGATGACCATGATGAATATCCTTACTGCCCTGCTGGATATGTCCCTGAGCTTGGTTTAAGATAGCAAACATCAAGGTAGAGAGTCCTGGACATCAGGTCGCGGGTGTTTCCTGGCTGTGATTGCCAGGCCCTGAAGACGCCGCGTTCCTCCCTTTGCCGAAACAGAACCTGCAGAAACCAAAGGGTTGACCGAACAACTGGCATGATGATGATGAGTGATGATGATGAGGATAATGGTAATGATGATAGTGATGATGAGTACGATGGTGATGATGATGTTGATGCAAATGATGGTGGTGGTGGATATGATGATGATGATGGTGACGAAGATGATGGTCATGATGGTGATGATTTTGATGGTTGCGATGATGAGGAATAGTAAGATGCTAATGGTGACGATGACGAATATGATGTAAATGATGGCGATGATGGGGATGGATGGAATGATGGTGATGGTGATGATTATGATGATTATGATGATGACGACGGTGATGATGAAACTGATAGTGATGGTGGTAATACGGATGATGATGAGGATGATGAGGAGGATGTTGGTTATGATGATAATACTGGTGATGATGATGGCGATGATGATGATGATGTTGATTATGATGATGATGATGATGATGATGATGATGATGATGATGATGACGGCGGTTATGATCCTCGCCCGCGACGCGCGCCCACCTCGCCTTGGTGGCCGCGCCTGGCGCCAGCGTTCACCTGCAGGAGCCCCCCAGCGAGGCGCTCGGCACAGCGGTCCCGCACAGCCTGACGCAGATCGAGATCAAGCGACGGCTCCGGGTCCAGCTGGTCGACGAGGAAGCATTATGCCTGGCGCGCGGGGAAATCACGGACGTGTACTGCGACCACGCCTTGACGTGCGTCTGCCAGGGCGACCGCACGCGCCGCCACACTTACCGCGCGCTCCGCAGCCGACCCAGCCGCCGCCCTCGACAGGCACGAGGAGCACAAGCGGCAGCACCAGGGCACGGCGCAGGCCTGCCGCGACGCGGACCTCACCTTCATCCCGATGGTGGTGCAAGCGCACGGCGGGAGCTGGGGCGGCGAGGCGCGCCGCGCCTTCGCCGTGCCGGCAAATCGCACGGCCGACGCGCGCGGGGAGGAGGCCGCCAGCACGGCGGACAGGATGGCCCAGCGACTCTCCATCTCCCTTCACCGGGAGAATGCGCGGGCCATCCTGCAGCGGCTGCAGCGGCCGCGGCCAGGGGCGACCCCGGCTCGCCTGGCGGCGGCGGTGGCGGCGGTGCAGGCGGCGGCGGCGGCGGCGGCCGTCGCGCGAGGCGCAGGGACAGGCGGCGGGCGCCGAGGACGACGAGGCGAAGGAGGGCGACCAGGATGAGGAGGAGGAAGAGGAGGAGGAGGAGGAAGAGGAGGCGGAGGAGGAGGAGGAAGAGCAGCGGCAAGAGAGCGACGACGAGACCGTGAGGAGGCAGCGAAGAGGCGCTGAGGAAGCCCAGAGGGGGCGGCCAGGACGGCGGCGACGAGGTGGCCCCAGAAGGAAGCAGTAGGCAACGCATAACGAGCGCCGAGGAGGAGGAGGAGGAGGAGGAGGAGGAGGAGGAGGGCGAGGAGGAGGAGGACGGGGACGAGACAATGAGGACGTGACAGTGGAGCGCAGAGGGAGCCTTGAAGAGGCCCGCCAGGAGGTGGGCGAGGCGAGGCAGGAGGAGGCGGCGCAGGAGGGCGCCGGCGGGAAGGGGCCCGAGGAGCCACGAGGAGGAGGAGGAGGAGGAGGAGGAGGAGGAGGAGGAGGAGGAGGAGGCGACTGCAATGCTGGTGCAGGCCTCGAGGAGGAGGAGGAGGAGGAGGAGGAGGAGGAGGAGGCGACTGCAATGCTGGTGCAGGCCTCCTCGATGCTGCAGCGCGCACTGGGGCGCCAGGCGGCCGCAAGGGCGGAGAAGGCCGCCGGCGCGCGCGGGGCCGCCGTGCTGGAGGACGCGGGTTCGCTGATGCAGGCTGTGGTGGAGACCGCGGGGTTGGACATCCGCAAGCGCCGCCCGCGAGACGAGTTCTGATGCGGCCCGCGCGGCCGATTCCGGGAAGGAGGCCGCGGAGCGGAGCGAAACGCTATCCGCTCGCAGGGCATAGCGTGTCACGGGCATCTCGTAGGGAAGAGGGGGCTTGGGGCGGCATTGGAATTGCAGCATCAGCGGAGTAGTACGATGATGAAGATGGTGATGGTGGTGGTGATGGTGATGGTGGTGGTTATGCTTGTGGTTGTGGTGATGATGGTGGTAACGGTGACGACTATAGCATAGAAATAGATGACAATTATGAAGATATGGATGCTGCTGGTAATGCTGGTGATGATGATGTAGGTTATGATGGTGACGGTTATGATGATGGTGGTGATGATGGTTATGTTGATGGTGGTGATGGTGATGATGATGATGATCATCATCATCATGATGATGATGATGATGATGCTGATGATGGTGATGGTGATGGTGATGGTGATGGTGATGGTGATGGTGATGGTGATGGTGATGGTGATGGTGATGATGCTGTTGATGGTGATGGTGATGGTGATGGTGATGGTGATGGTGATGATAATGATGATGGTGATGATGATGATGATGGTGATGGTGATGGTGATGGTGATGGTGATGGTGATGATGATGATGATGATGAGGAGGAGGAGGAGGAGGATCGTGCACCGAGGCAGCGACGCGGCGTCGCCTCGGGTTGGCCGCTCCGCTTGGGGGCATCTTGGTGCCTGTTAAGGGGGGCTTCCTTTGGGGGGGGGGGGGGGCCCTCGGGGCCCTTTGGACTTCCTCTTGCTGAGCTCCTCTCGGGCCTTTCTTGGAAGCATCGTGGGCCATGTTGGGGGCCTCTCAAGACATGTTGAGGCCCTCTTGGGCAGATGTTTGATTCCCAACCATCCGTTGGTGTTGGGTCCTCGTTTTGAGGAGACAGCGCCCCGCGTTATCCTACTGCTCCTCCTCATCCTGCTCTTCCTCCGCCTCTCCTCCTCCTCCTCCTCCTCCTCCTCGTCCTCCTCCTCCTCCTCCTCCTCCTCCTCCTCCTCCTCCTCCTCCTCCTCCTCCTCCTCCTCCTCCTCCCGCTGCCCCCCCCCCTCCTCTCCCTCCTTACTTTTGCTCTCCGCATCGGTCTACCATTCCTGCACACCCCTCACACGTTTCGTGGCCCCACAGGGAACTCCACCGAAGGTCCCCCACCCATTCCTGCACGCTCCTCGCACGTTTCGTGACCCCATATGGGGCTCCACCGAAGATCCCAGTAGCACCGCGTGCACGCGTCCCCGCCACCCATTTCGACACACCCCTCGCACGTTTCGCGGCCACATACGGGGCCCCACCGAAGATCCCAGTGGCACCGTCCGCATGCGCCCCCGCCACTCATTTCGGAACACCCCTCACACGCCACGTGGCCGCATAGGGAACTCCACCGAAGGTCTCAGTGGCACCGTCCGCATGCGTCCCCGCTACCAATTTCGGCACACCCATTACACGCTTCCTGGCCCCACAGGGAGCCCCACCCGTGCGCATGCGTCCCAGCTACGATTCGGCACACTATTCACACGGCTCGTGGCCCCGTATGGAGCTCCACCGAAGGTCCCAATGGCACCGTCCGCATTCGTCCCCGCCACCCTTTCCAGTGCACCGCTCACAGCTTTCGTGGCCCCATATGGGGCTCCACCGAAGGTCCCAATGGCACCGTCCGCATGCGTCCCCGCCACCCATCCCTGCACACCCCTAGCACGTTTCGTGGCCCCATAGGGAGCTCCACCAAAGATCCCAGTGGCACCGTCCGCATGCGTCACCGCCACTCATTTCGGAACACCCCTCACACGTTTTGTGGCGTTGTCTGGAGCTTCACCGAAGGACGGCCCGCGCGCGTCCGCGCCACTCATTTCGGAACACCCCTCACACGTGTCGTGGCCCCACAAGGAACTCCACCGAAGGTTCCAGTGGCACCGTCCGCGCAGGTCCTGCCACCCACTTCGGCACACCCCTCACAGGTTTCGTGGCCCTATGGGAAGCTCCACCGAAGGTCCCAGTGGCACCGTCCGCACGCGTCCCCGCCGCCCATATCGACACACCCCTCCCACGTTGCGTGGCTTCATAATGAGCTCTACCACGGTCCCAGTGGCACCGTCCGCATGCGCCCCCGCCGCACATTCTCGGCACATCCCTCACACTTGTCGTGGCCACATAGGGAGCTGCACCGAAGGTCCCAGTGGCACCCTCCACATGCGCCCCCGCCACCAATTTCGGCACATCCCTCAAACATTTCGTGGCCCCATATGTGGCTCCACCGAAAGTCCCAGTGGCACCGCGCGCATGCGCTCCCGCCACACATCCCTGCACACCCCTAGCACGTTTCGTGGCCCCATAGGGAGCTCCACCGAAGATCCCAGTGGCACCGCGCGCATGCGTCCCGTCGCGTCCCTGCCACCCATTTCGGCACATCCCTCAAACATTGCGTGGCCCCATGGGGAGCTTCACCGAAGGTCCCAGTGGCACCGTCCGCATGCGCCCCTGGCACTTCTTTCGGCACACCCCGCACACATTTCGTGGCCACATAGGGAGCTGCACCGAAGGTCCCAATGGCACCGTCCGCATGCGCCCCCGCCGCGAATTTCGGCACATCCCTCAAACATGTCGTGGTCCCATGTGGCTCCACCGAAGGGCCCAGTGGCACCGCGCGCATGCGCCCCCACCACCCATTTCGACACGCCCCTCGCACCATTCGTGGCCCCATAGGGATCTCCACCGAAGGTCTCAGTGGCACCGTCCGCATGCGTCCCGTCGCGTCCCTGCCACCCATTTCGGCACACCCCTCAAACATTGCGTGGCCCCATGGGGAGCTTCACCGAAGGTCCCAGTGGCACCGTCCGCATGCGTCCCTGGCACTCATTTCGGCACACCCCTCACACATTTCGTGGCCACATAGGGAGCTGCACCGAAGACGATGCTCACAACTGCATTACTCACAGCTGCATATGGTTGGGTTATTCGCCAGGCTAATTGTTGGTTGACAAGGCTGATCATATGGTTTTTCGGATCTAGCTGTCGAGGCAGTCGAGCGGATCATCTGTCCAGATGCTGCATGTGAAGCATGCTGCGACCGCTGATGAGAAGGAGGCGAGAGCTTGGGAAATGGAGGCGGAAGGATAGGAAGGAGGAGGAGCAGAGTTCCTGGGGATAGGGACAGTCCCAGTAAATCTGGCGCACTGCGAGTACGTCTATGGCGTGCCCACGTGGGACTGGGCCATGGCCTGGGCACATTGGGCCCGGCCGCCGACTGGCGGCAAACCACCCAGCCACTCGGCTCGGGGCACCGCGCGGCGACTGCGACGGATGGGGGCGAGCTACCAGACCCTCTGCCCAGAGCGGGCCAAGCTCTGCCCGGCGGAGGTGGCACCAGACACCAGGCAGATCTGTCAGGAACTCCTGGGTCTGTGGACCCAGCACCCTGGGCAGCACGAAAGAGCGGGAGGGTGGCGCGGCACACACCCGCACGCCAGTGCCTGTAGTGGGGCCGACGCCACCGCTCCTGGGCAACACAATACGTTGCGATGCCGTTGCGTCTCCTCAAGACGGCGGTGGGGAGACGGGCTACGAGGCGGGCATATGGGCCTCGTCACCCTCGGGGTGGCCAGAGCGCGCTCCACCAGATCCACCAGGGGAGGGCGCCACGTGCTCGAGACCACGCCGATCGAGGGGAAAGACTGCAAAGCCTTTGGCCCCCCTTCAGGCCTCGGGTACAGGACAGCCTCGATCCGCTGCGGATGAGGAGAAGCAGGAGGGTTGTGGAGGAGGAGAAGGATGAAGAGGCAGCGAGACCGACGACTGTCGCGACGGCACGGCTGGCAGCGCGAGGCCGAATCAGTCCTCCATGCGGTCCCTCTCTGCCGACACGCCTCTGGGTATGCCATCCCCCATGCCCGTGTCCGTCTTGCCCCTCATCCTGCGCCAGCAGCACGCGACGACCGTCAGGATGCCGATGGCGACGAACGCGCTCGACAGGATAGAGCCGCTGCCCGACGCGCCCAGCCCCTCGAAGGGGGCGGCGCCCGGGGGGCAGAGCCGCCACCCACTCTGTGCCGACTCGAAGTCGCTCGACCAGACGATGGGGCCCAGCGGCTTGACAGAGACCGGGCCCATGGTGCCACTGTAGGTTATGCCGTTGATTCTCAGCGTGTCGTAGCCCCACTCCGTGGAGAACGTGTCGGCGGTGACGTCCGTTATCGCATCGACGTTCACCCCGATGACGCACTTCTCGTTGTTCCCATAGGCCTTGGGGTAGTTGGGACTCAGGATGCAGTCGCTGCGGTCCTTCGTGCACGGGCCCGAGGCGACGGCCCACGCGACGCCACTCGGCACCTCCACCCCCGCGGTGTCGGGGTCGGGCGGGGGCGTGTACTGCGTGCCGTTGTACGTGCCTTTCGAGCCGCCGCCGCACGCGCAGCACGCCTCGACGGCGCTCTTTCCACCTGCCTTGAAGTCGGAGAGCGTACCCCACTCGTCGTGCCACCCAAAGCCGGGCTGCCCTGCAATGGTGCAGAAAAAGTAATCGGAATAGATGGCGCAGTCGTCCCCGTCCTTGTCCGTCCAAGACACGGTGTCTGCACACTGGTTGTCGTTGTACCCCTGGAACGTGTCGCTGCCGCCGCCGCAGGAGCAGCAGGCAGTGGACGCGTCGTACCCATTCATCGCGAAGGACCCGAACGTGCCGAAATTATTGTCCCAGCCCTCGCCGCGACCACCTGAAGCCGTGCAGAAATCGTTGAACTCGTATGAGAAGCAATCGTCGCCGTCAGAATCGGTCCAGTCTGGTGGGTAGTCCGTACATCCAGCTGTCGCCATACTCTCTGGCCTGCAGTAGCCCCATTCGAAGTCCTCACACTGCGGATCCTCAACATAGCAGTAGTCACCCCATTCGTCGTCCTCAAAGTTGCAGCACCCATCGCTGCACATCTTGCCACCCTCTTCCCAACTGACCTTGCATTTGCAGTCGGACCAAGTGTACCGAACTGCTGGTGGCGTCGGCGTCGCCTCCCTGCAGAGCCTCCACCCCGTCCCCCCCAACTCCGAATCGCTTGACCAGACGATGGCGTCCAGCGGCCAGACAAAAGAGGGGCCCACGGTGCCACTGTAGGTCTCACCGTTGATCTTCAGCGTGTCGTAGCCCCACTCCGTGGAGAACGCTTCGGCGGTGATGTACGATACCTCGCCGACGTTCACCCCGATGACGCACTTCTCGTTGTTCCCATAGGTCTTGGGGTAGTTGGGACTCAGGATGCAGTCGCTGCTGTCCTTCGTGCACGGGCCCGAGGCGACGGCCCACGCGACGCCGCTTGGCACCTCCACCCCCGCGGTGTCGGGGTTGGGTTGAGGCGTATACTGCGTGCTGGTGTACATGCCTTTCGAGCCGCCGCCGCACGCGCAGCACGCCTCGACGGCGCTCTTTCCACCTGCCTTGAAGTCGGAGAGCGTACCCCACTCTTCGTGCCACCCAAAGCCCGGCTGTCCTGCGGCGGTACAGAAGAAAGCTTCAGAGTAGGCAGAACAGCCGTCCCCGTCCTTGTCCGTCCAACCCTCCGCGTCAGCGCACCGGTTGTCGTTGTACCCCTGGTTGGTGTCGCTGCCGCCGCCGCAGGAGCAGCAGGCAGCGGACGCGTCGTACCCATTCATCGCGAAGGACCCGAACGTGCCGAAAGTACTGTCCCAGCCCTCGCCGCGACCACCTGAAGCCGTGCAGAAATCGTTGAACTCGTATGAGAAGCAATCGTCGCCGTCAGAATCGGTCCAGTCTGGTGGGTAGTCCGTACATCCAGATGTCGCCATACTCTCTGGCTTGCAGTAGCCCCAGTCGGAGTCCTCACACTGCGGATCCTCAACATAGCAGTAGTCACCCCATTCGTCGTCCTCAAAGTTGCAGCACCCATCGCTGCATGTCTTGCCACCCTCTTCCCAGTTGACCTTGCATTTGCAGTTGGACCAAGTATACCGGGGTGCTGGCGGCGTCAGCGTCGCCTCCCTGCAGAGCCTCCACCCCATCTCACCAACCTCCGAATCGCTTGACCAGACGATGGCTTCCACTGGCTTGACGAAATATGGGCCCACGGTGCCACTGTAGGTCTGGCCGTTGATCTTGAGCACGTCATAACCCCACTCCGTGGAGAACGCCTCGGCGGTGACGTACGATATCTTGTCGACGTTCACCCCGATGACGCACTTCTCGTTGTTCCCATAGGTCTTCGGGTAGTTCGGACTCAGGATGCAGTCGCTGCTGTCCTTCTTGCACGGGCCCGACACCACTGCCCACGCGACGCCGCTCGGCACCTCCACCCCCGCGGTGTCGTCGTCGGGCGTGGGCGTATACAATGTGCCAGTGTATACGCCTTTCGAGCCGCCGCCGCACGCGCAGCACGCCTCGATGGCACTCTTCCCACCTGCCTTGAAGTCGGAGAGCGTACCCCACTCTTCGTGCCACCCAATGCCCGGCTGCCCTGCGGCGGTGCAAAGGAAATACTCGGAATACTGAGAACAGCCGTCCCCGTCCTTGTCCGTCCAACCCTCCGCGTCAGCGCACCGGTCGTCGTTGTACCCCTGGTTGGTGTCGCTGCCGCCCCCGCAGGAGCAGCAGGCAGTGGACGCGTCGTACCCGTTCATCGTGAAGGCATCGAAACCGCCCCAATCCTCGTCCCACTCCGCGCCGTGACCACCTGAAGCCGTGCAGAAACCGTTGAACACGTATGAGTAGCACCCGTCGCCGTCTGCGTCGGTCCAGTCTGGTGGGTAGTCCGTACATCCGGCTGTCGCCATACTCTCTGGCCTGCAGTAGCCCCAGTCGGAGTCCTCACACTCAGAATCCTGCACATAGCAGTAGTTACCCCATTCGTCGTCCTCAAAGTTGCAGCACCCATCGCTGCATGTCTTGCCACCCTCTTCCCAGTTGACCTTGCACCTACAGTTGGACCAAGTGTAACGAATTGGTGGCGGTGTCGGCGTCGCATCCTGGCCTTGCGCCGAACCAGACGCGGCCGCCGCGGCAGCCACCGCGAGTGCCGCGGCCCGCGGCGTTCTTGCCCGCACCGCGGTAGCCGCCATGCTCTCGTCCGTTTATGGTTGGACGGATAAGCCTTGAGACCAAACGGCTTGAGCCCACCCCTTGGGCCGACTTTGGGCGCTCCCATGGCCGTCCTGAGCTGTCTCTGGCGGGTCTGGGGGGCCTTGTTCGGCCGTATTGGGCTTCCTGGGCCTGGAGAAGCGAAGCGCCAAAAGCCTTCAGATACCTAAGAAGGACATCCTGCGGTGCTTGCCGCTGGGGGCCCCGGTGGGGGTCCTCCTGGATCCGTCCGGGGGCGGCACGAGCTGTCTTGGAGCCGTCCGGGGAGATCTTTTGCCGTCCCATGCAGGCCTTGGCTGTCCTGGGGACCGATTGGCGCCGGCCTGAGGCCGTCTGCAGCCATCCTCTCCTCCTCCTCCTCCTCCTCCTCCTCCTCCTCCTCCTCCTCCTCCCCCTCCTCCTCCTAGGGGGCGGCGCTGAGCTGCCCGAGGCGCCTTCGGTGCTGCCGCGGCCAGCTCTTCGCCGGTGTTAGACCCATCTCGGATCTGAGAGAGCCCCCCCCCGAGGGCCAGGAACGGGCCCCAGACTCGGGAGGCTCAATGCGGTTACGTTGGGGTGCACTCGTTTGTCATTAGGTGCTGGGGGCGGCGAGACTGCCCGGCCCTCCGACAGTAAGCATGTGTATATAAATATATATATATATATACACAAGACTGCAGTGGCGCTTCGCGCCACTGCACCTTGGTCCTTGAAGTTTGGTGTGCAGGCGGAATAGCGAGAAGGTCAAGCCGACAATCTAGCGATAGTTCCTTGTTGCCTGTTCTGGCATCGCCACTATAATAACGTTATTCGTTATCCTTCCTGCATGCTTCTTTTTCCTCATTTTCGACATACCCTGCGCATTCTCCCCATCCTCCACAGCTCTTTTTTGCGGAGGCTCCTCCTTGGAGAGCCTCTGGGGGCCTCACAAAAGTTGTTTCAGGCTTTCTTAAGGCCTTCTGGAGGCCTCCTGGGCGTATTCTGGGGGCCTCTGGGGGCTTCCTCGGGCCACCCTGCCTCCAACCGCGGTCTCCCTGAACGACCGGGTCACGATTTGGAATGCTTCGGAGGGTGTCTTGGGGCCATCTTGGGCCGCCATGGGGCTCTCTGAGGGCCATCTTGGACCCGTGTTGTGCCGTTTTGGGGCTCTCTTGTACTGCCTGGAAGCCCTTTCGGATGGTTGTGGGGCGATTTGGGGGCCTCCCAGGCGGCTTTGGACGCCCAGAAGACCGCCGTCTTGGAGCGTCGGGAAGCCGAAAAGAGGAGAACCCCAAAATTCACCAAAAACAATAGAAAATCAATGTTTTTGTCTCTTGGGGCCTTCTTGGGAGTGCTCTTGGAGGCCTCTTTGGGGCCGTCCTGGAGGCCTCTTGGGCCATCTTGAGGTCACGTCGGTCACTCTTGGAGCGCTCTTGTGCTGTCTTGGGGGTCTCTGGGACGTCTCCGATGACCCCCCTGATCGCCTTAGGTGTGCTGGGAAGGCTTGGCAAAACGCCCTGCGAGGCCTGGGGGGCCGCTTCGAGGCCCGTCTGGAAGGTCCCAAAGCCCTAGATCCCGGGAGTCCAGTTTTGGGGGGGGGGTCCCCCCGCCTGGGCTTATAAAAATATAGGAAGAGGATTATGTGTGTGCATACATCTTAAAACTGTTCGCTCTTCGTTGCCCGCGTGTCATCCAGCCTGTATACCTGAAACCCTCTATACCCGCCCTCCTCGTCTTCTATCGCACCCTTGGGGGGGTGCATCTTGATTGCGTGCCGAGAGTAGTTGACGCGGCCTCGAAAGTCGGGAGAGGAGGGAACAGGAAGAAAGAGAGAGAGAGAGAGCGAGGAAAGGAGGAGGCAACGAAGGGCGAGGGGGGGCAAAAGAGAGAGGGAGGAGGAGGGAGGACGAAGACGATTCGGCAGGAGGGGGAGGAGACTAGAAGAAGAAGAAGAAGAAAAGACGCCATGAACATCAACTTTTAGCGCTCCGCGCGGATTTCTTAGATCTGCGCTGGACCCCCCTCCCTGGCGCGCGGAGCGCGCCAGGGGCGCCGCCGGGGGCCCCCAGCGCGGATCCAAGAAATCCGCGCGGAGCGCCAAAAGTTCATCTTCATGGCGTCTTTTCTTCTTCGGCGGAGACGGGCGGGTCGAGCGGGCGGACCTTCACGAGCGGGCTTCGGGCCAGACGACCGGGCGGGCCCCACCGGAGGCGGATCGGGCGAGCGGGCCCTGCCGGGCGGGCCCGGCGAGCGGGCCCGAGAACGGGCGGCCTTGGGCCTCGCACGGTGCGAGGAGTCCTCAGAGGCAGGGGCACGGGTCCTGCGGAATGTGCGAGGACGTCTCGTGCGCGAGCCCGACTCCTGGGCGTCGGGGGCGCAAGGCCTTCGCAGCGTTCCTTTTCTTTCCGGCACTGGGCGGGTGCCTCGCGAGCACCTGCGGGCCCCCTCCGCCCTCCGCGCCGCTTCCAGCTGTGGAGGGGGCTGAGGGAAGGGCAGCGGTGCCGATGGACTCGAGGAAGCAAGGCCTTCGCAAGTTGCCAGAGAGTCCCAGGCGAGAGCGTGAGTCCTGGGCCCGTCACAAGGAAGTCTCGAGGGAGGGGGCGATTTCGAACAAATCCTCAGGCGCTGTCAAACATGAGCCGCTGTTGTGGTAATATGAGGGCCAGGGGCGCAGTTGAAGGCTGAAGACTTCCCCTGTTAGAATTATCCAGGCGAAGCCCAACCATGTGCAGTCGTGAGTGCCCCAGCTGTGAATGTCGTCTTGGGTGGAGCCCCCTACGGGGCCACAAGACGATGTCATTGGGGTCTTTGGTGGAGCACCCTATGAGGCACCGAATCGTGAAAGGGTGCGCCAGGGTGGGTTGGGGAGATGTATGCGAACGGTGCCACTATGGCCTTCGGTGGAGCTCCGTATGGGGCCACGAAACGTGTGAGGGGTGCGCCGCAATCGGGGGCGGGGTGACGCATGCGAACGGTGCCACTAGGGCCTTCCGACGAGCTCCCTATGGGGCCACGAACCGTGTGACGGGTGATTACGCCGTAATGGGCGGCGCGGACGCAGACGAACGGTGCGGGGGCCATCGGTGGAGCTTCCTGTGTGGCCACGAACCGCGTGAGAGGCGTGCCCAAATGTGCGACGCGGACGCATGCGGACCGCACCACTGGGACCTTAGGTGGAGCTCCCAACGTGTGAGAGGTGTGCCGAAAAGGGTGGCGCTGACGCATGCGATCGTCGCCACTGGGGCGTTCGGTGGAGCTCCCTGTGGGGACACGAACCGTGTGAGGCGCGTGCCGAAATGGGCGGCGCGGGCGCATGCGACAGTGCCTAAGTGGAGCCCCATTATGGGGCCACGAACCGTGCGACTGGTATGCCGAGCATGTGGCGGAACGCATGCGGACGGTGCAACATGGGACCTCCCGTTGAGCTCCGTATGGGACAACGAAACGTCTGAGGGGTGTACCGAAATGTGCGCATGCGACAGTGCCACTGGGGCCTTCGGTGGAGCTCCCTGTGGGGCCACGAAACGTGTGAGAGGTGTGCTGACATGGGTGGCGGGGACGCATGCGGACGGTGCCTCTAGGACCTTCGGTGGAGCTCCCTATGGGGCCACGAATCGTGTGAGGGGTGTGCCGAAATGTGCGACGCGGACGCACGCAAACGTCGCCACTGGGGCCTCAGGTGAAGCCCCTTATGGGGCCACGAAACGTGTGAGGGGTGTGCCGCGGCGCTGAGCTTCGCAGGCATCTGCAGCGAAGCAATTTGCAGCTGTGAATCGTCTCGGGTGAAGTTGCTTATGTGGCCACGAAACGTGTGAGGGAAGTGCCGAAATGGGCGGCGGGGACGCCCGCGGACGGTGCCACTAGGACCTTCGGTGGAGCTCCATATGGGACCACGAAACGTGCGATGGGTTGTGCCGAAATTGGTGCGGGGACGCATGCGAACGGCGTCACCAGGACTGTCGGTGCAGCTCCCTATGGGGCCACGAAACGTGATGCGGACGGTGCCGCTGGGGCCTTCGGTGGAGCTCCTCATGGGGCCACGACAAGTTTGAGAGGTGTGCCGAATCGTGCGGGGCGGACGCATGCGGACGGCGCCACTGGGGCCTTCGGTCGAGCTCCCCCTGGGGCTCAACGGGCAGGCAAAAGGGGTGGGCGGGATTCCAAACGCGCGAACGGCCAAACGCGGGCGACTCCAACTGGCGGGTCGGGCGGGCGGACCTTACCGGGCGGGTCAGGCGGGCTAAGTCTACCGGGCGGGTCGGGCGGGTCGGGCGGACGGGGCATTGAGGCGAACTTCGTAAACTGTGAACAAGTGCCGGGCGAGAGCACAAGTCCAGAGTAAATTGTGGGGATGTCTCGTGCGAGAGCGCGCTTCCTGGACGTCGAGAGCGCAGCGCATTGGCAAATGGCGAGGATGTCCCAGGCGAAAGCGCGATTCCTGAATTCATTGCGAGGACGTCTCGAGGGAGAGTGCGATTTTGAATAAGCTGCGAAGAAATACCTGGCGGGAGCTGTTTTAGTAGCCGAGGGCCCGACAACACAGCTTGAGCAAGAAGACCTTCCCTGACAAAAAACCGTGCGCGAGCCCTCAGAGAGGGGGGCGCCTCAATTGCCCCGGACAGAAGCATGCGCGCAGGACATGGGGATCAACAGTCCTCAAGTTTCGGACACGAGAGCTCGAGCACAACAGCCAACACCACGACAAAGTGCTGCCGCGTCGCCCAGATCGGAGAGGCTGGTCGAGCGGGCTCTTGACGTCGTCACTGACCCGCGGGCCGGCCCTGGCCGGCCCGAAACGGTGAAAAAGGCGAGCCTTTGGTCGAGCGTGACCCTCTACAGGCGGATTTTGGACAAACAAAAAAAAGATAGTCGAACAAACTTCAAAAAGGGCCACTAACACTTTCAAAAAAATCATACCCTGACTATGTTTTGACGATTCTTGAATACGCCTCCTGTAGAGGGACAGGCCCGACTCAAGGCAAGTCACGGAAGCTCTTGGCCGTCCCCATGGCGCCCAACAGCGGGCCCAAAAGGCAGCTCCCTCGCACGATGCCGCTGTTGCGCGCTGTTGGTCGCCAATGGGCGCCATGTGGGCGCTGCTCGGCGCTGCCGGGCGCTCTCTGGCGTTCTTGCGCGCTGCTGGGCGCTCTCTTCGCCGAGGCGCACCTCGATGCAAGACGCGAGAAAGCTGCCCTGCCTTACCTGTCGCACGGGGGGGCAGGAGAGCCCGGAATCGAATCGATAAATCGGATCGGCGATCGACATGAAGCGGATCGGCGGAAATCGGCAGCCAAGTCGGGAAAAGTCGAACCGGCGGACATCGGCAGGCTAGTACATATGCCTCCAAGGAGAAATCGGAGCCCATACCGGAATCCCAAGTCGAATCGAATCGGAATCGGAAGCCATCGGAAATCCAATCGAATCGGATCGGGGGCATCGGAACGAGCCCTGAGGGGGGGCCTTGCTCAGCTGGTTCCGCAGCAGCGGGAAGACACGCTCGGGGAAGCCCCAGCGGTCCTCGGGCAAGCCCCCCGAGGCGCGCCGCCGGGAGGGAACGCGGGCGGGTCGAGGATCGAAGCTCCTGGCCGCCTCTCGAGCGGGGGAGGGGACCTTAGATCGAGGAGGGGGATCGAGGATCGAGGGGGAGGGATCGAGGATCGAGGATCGACCTCCCCGAAGTTCCAGAAGCGTCTGCAACCTCTGGGGGCCTCGGTAGAGACCGAACCCGTAGGGGCGATCCCAGCAGGCCCGGGGGTGGAGCCCAGAGACCCCCCATGCCTTTGCTTGCAAGCGTAGCGAAGCTGCCCGGCGAGCTCGAAGAAAAAGGAACCGCTTCCTGCGGTGTCAATCGGGTGTGGCGTGAGCGCACCCGGCTTGGCCGAGGCCCGAGTTCGACTGGAGCTCCACACGTCCTCCCAGCCGCCCTCGCGGTGGACGTGGTCGGCTGAGCCCAAGCTCGAGTCGAGCCCCCCAAAAGTGTCCAGCTTCCCGAAGCGTGGGCCCCCCAAGAGCTTGCCGGCGCCCCGCCGACGGGGACCCCCGCGACTGGCCATCGCTCGGACGTGCCTCCCCTGTGCTGCTGTCAGGCTTCGTGCGCGGCTTTTTCGCAGGATGGTCGAGGAGACTCCTCGAAGGTCCTCGCCGAGAAAGGGAACGCACACGTCCGAGCGATGCCACGACCACGGGCACCCTGGCGAGCGAACAGTGGCGCGCCCGGCACTCCCCGACCAAAGGTCGGGCAGCGGAGGGTGCGCGGGGGTGGCACGGAAGCCGGCCCAGGGGGAGGGGGGCCTACAGTTGGCTGCACGCAGGAGCGGCCCTGCAAGCCTCGTCAGAAATGTCCAGAAGTGGAAGTTGAAATCCTGGAGCACGATGCTTTCGGGCACTCGTCAGAAACCGCGTTCCTCAGTGCTGAGAGGGTGGGGTCGTTTTTTGGACAACACCGCGTCCCAGGCAACAGGGATCCGTCAGCATTGGAGTAGCGCTGACCCCACTATCACCGAATTATTTTTGACGAGGCTTGTAGGCAAGAGTGCAGACGTGCTGCAGCGGAGTTGCCGCGGCGGACTTCTGCGTGGAACTACTGCAGCGGATTTTCGCGCGGATTCCTGGCATTACAGAACCCCGAAACTGCGAGTAAGAACGAAATGACTTTCGCGTGGGTGGTTTTTGGTCTTCATTCCTGGCCAAACAAAAGTCCGCACGAAATTCACCTCGAAATCCGGAACAAAATTCTCCAGGACACTCCGGCCCCATCCTATCGTTTTCAAATCGAAATCTGCTCTGCGATGGTGGCGCCATGATATGAAGGGGGCGGAGGGTGGCTAAATCCGAGCGCGCAAGCAGCCCCTGCCGCATCGCGCTGTGCGATCGGGGGGGCCCCCTGTGAGCCCGCAACGAAGGTCACTCCGGCGAAGGGTCACTCCTACCCATCGGTCGGAAGAAGTAGGTAGAAGCACGAAGTAGGAAGGCGTTGAAAGTAGATTGCTTGTCCGCCCGCCCCCTAAGGAGGACGGAACAGGTGAAGCCACTCGATCATTGAAGTAGGAAGGCGCTTAAAAGAGATTGGAACCTGGGACTCCAAGAATACCTACTTTCAACGACAGACGTAGTCGATCGAGCCATCTTGCCACCACAAGGAACGCTGAATAAGCAACGACGGGGCTTCTCTGACTACGGCGAGCCTCGACGCGAATAGGCTCCCTGATCTATCGTCACGTCGGACATGTCCTCCTACGGGCGGATTTTGGAAGAAACATACACAAGTAGCCAAAGAATAATCGAACAGAATCCAAAAAACAGTCGAACAAAGGAAAACCGTCGCTAGACTCTTCTTTGCCTCTTCTCCTGCATATATTCCGCCTGCAGAGGGACAGACCCGACTTCAAAACCTACCTCTAGGTCGGGCGTGTCCCCCTACAGGCGGATCTGGGACGATACATCAAACATATCCACATAAATATACACTAAAAACTCAAAAATTCTACTAAAAACAAAATCCCCAGACTATTTTTCTATGGGATGCACAGAGACATACTAATACTATGTGTCCGCCTTGGAGGCGCGCGTCCGACCCGAACATATAGTATACCCATCTTGTAGTATATCGTTTCTCGAGCGGTGTGGCCAGAAAGCGCCCGCCACGACGCATATACTATAAGATTTCTCGGTTCGCGCGTCGCCTCTGGGGGGGCGACGAACACATAGTATAAGTATGTTGGGGGGACGCCGATTCTATTATTTTTGAATATTCCTCCTGTAGAGGGACGTGCCCGACTCACAAACCGACCCTGCCTTGGGGAACCGCCCGACCACCGGAGCCCACCCGAGAGGGCCCGAGGTGGTCCTGATCTCCGCCTCTCGACGGCAGGCCTTGCAGGCCCGAGAAAAAAAGCGAAGGAGGGAAGAAGAGCAGAAGAGAGGGAAGCGGGGAAGAAGAGAATAGGAAGGCACCAGCTATACACCAACACCGATCCTGGCCCAGGATCACCCTGGGCCCAGGATCGGTGTATACGCCCTCCTGCCTTGCGCAAGAAGGCATATACACCGATCCTGGGCCCAGGGTGATCCTGACCAGGATCGGTGTTGATGTATAGTTGGTGCCCTCCGAGAGAAGAAGCGGGGGTGGAGGCAGTTAGGGAAGGAGGAGGGAAGCAGGAAGAACACTTCGGGGATGATCCGACGTGTCCCCGTCGATGACCGAAGAGGTGGCCGTCCAGGCGAGAGAGCAAAGGCAGGCACGACTTCCCCGGCCCCCCGAAACACTACAGGCCTCACAAAAAAATAGCGAACACGCATGCCACATTCATCGGTCAACGCCTCCCTCTCCCCGCAATGTTCAAAGTTGGCGGTGGGTCTGATGAGTTCAGCTTTGACCGCAGTCTCCCCCGCGCGTGCCAACTTTGAGTTTGGGGGAGCGGGGGAGTGTTCAGCAAATGTTTCCCTCTACCGTACTTAAGGACCACATCCCAGAAATCCGCCGGCCCCCTTGTGGGGCCACCAGGCTGTAGGCTGAGGGTTTGCTGTTCCCTGCGCCTGTTCCAGTTTCCAGTTTCCACTGTTACAGTATTGCTTTATGCTGCTTGCTGTTCCTTGTTGTAGACCGCGCGAGGGGTGGAGCCGAAAACCGCCCTGGTTAGCACCTCCCAGGAGGGGTCTCAGAATTTCTGGAAATTGGCAATAATCTTAACAAATTACACTATATTCGCGCCCCCGAGGCCAAAATCCCTCATAAATTACATTATATTCGCGTCCGCGAAGCCACGATCCCTTGCAAAATATTCCATATTCACGCTCCTGAGGCCACGATCCCCCGTAGATCACACAACATTCTCGGCTGTGGGGCCGCGATCCCCTGCAAATTACACCACAGTCGCGCCCCCGAGGCTACGATCCCTTATAAATTACACCACGTTCGCGCCCCCGAGGCCACGATCCCCTGTAAATTACATCACTTTCGCGCCCCCGAGGCCACGATCCCGAGCAAATTACACCACATTCGCGCCCCCGAAGCCGCGATCCCTTGCAAATCACACCACATTTGCGCCGGGCCTTCTTGGAGGACGTCTTGGAGGGCTCTTGGGCCGTCTTGGAGGCCATCTTGAGTGTTTTGGAAGCCTCTTGGGCCGTCTTGGGGGCCTCTTGGGGCCGTCTTGGGCGACCTTTGGGGGCACTTGGGCCGTTTTGGGCCGTCGGAAGGCAGAAAAAAGCAAATGCCACAATCCTTCAAAAACTCCTACGGAAATCAATGATTTGGGCCTTTTCGGGCCTTCCTGGAGGCCCTGTTGGAGGCCTCTTGGGCCGTCTTGGGCCATCTTAAGCCCATCTTCGGCCGTCTTGGTGGGCTCCTGGCACGTCTGACGCCATCGGGAGCCGTCTTGGGGGCCTCTCTGGGCCTACTTGGGGCCCTCTTGGGGCGCTTCGGGGCCGTCTTAGAGGCCATCTTGGGCGTCTTGGATGCCTCTTGGCCCGTCTTGGGGCCCTCTTGGGGCCGTCTTGGGGGCCTCTTGGGCCGTCATGGGGCCATCTTGGAGGCCTCTTGGGCGATCTTGGGGCGACCTTGGGGGCCTCTTTGGCCGTCTTGGGCCGTCCGAAAGCCGAAAAGGCGCAAATACCAAAATCCTTCCAAAACCTTAGGAAAATCAATGATTTTGGCCTCTTCGGCCCTTCCTGGAAGACCTCTTGGAGGCCTCTTGGGCCGTCTTGGAGGCCTCTTGGCAGCCTCTTGGGCCGTTTTGGGCCATCTTGAGGCCATCTTAGGGCGTCTTGGGTGCACCTTGGGCCGTCTTGAGGCATCTTGGAGCCATCTTAGCCGTCTTGGAGGCCATCGTGGCCCTCTTGGAGGCGTCTTGGAGGCCATCTTGGACGATCCTGGGGACCGTCTGGAACGGAAAAACCCTTCGCAACCACCTCTTGGCAAATTTTCGGCATCCTTCCGGGTGGCCGGCGAGACGGGCCGAAGCCCCAGGGGGAATTCTTTTGGAAAAAGAACCAAAACCAAAAGCCATATAGTTTGGCACGCCAGGCACCCCTTTGATAAATCAAGAGGGGGCGGCGGACTCCACCTGGGGCTTCGGCCCGTCCCGCCGGCCACCCGGAAGAATGCCGAAAGATTGCCCAGAGGTGGTTGCAAAGGGTTTTTCCGTTCCAGACGGCTCCAAGATGGCCTAAGATGGCCTCTAAGACGGCCAAGATGGCCTCCAAAACGACTGAGATGGCCCCAAGATGCCTCCAAGATGGCCCAAAATGCACCCAAGCCGGCCTAAGATGGCCTCAAGATGGCCCAAGACGGCCCAAGAGGCTGCCAAGAGGCCTCCAAGATGGCCCAAGAGGCCTCCAAGAGGTCCTCCAGGAAGGCCCGAAGAAGCCAAAATCATTGATGTTCCTTAGGTTTTTGAAGGATTTGGGCATTTGCGCATTTTCGGCTCTCCGACGGCCCAAGACGGCCCAAGAGGCCCCAAAGGTCGCCGCAAGATCGCCCGAGAGGCCTTCTAGATGGCCCCATTAGCCTCCAAGACAGCCAAGATGGACCACGATGGCCTCCAAGATGCCTCTAAGACGGCCAAGATGGCCTCCAGGACGGCTAAGATGGCCCCTAGATGCCTCCAAGACGGCCCAAGATGCACCCAAGACGGCCTTAGATGGGCCCAAGAGGCTGCCAAGAGGCCTCCAAGACGGGCCAAAGAGGCCTCCAAGAGGTCCTCCAGGAAGGCCTGAAGAGGCCAAAATCATTGATTTTCCCTAGGTTTTTGAAGGATTTTGGTATTTGCGCATTTTCGGTCTTCCGACGGCCCAACAAGACGGCCCAAGAGGCCCCCAAGGTCGCCCGAAGATCGCCCAAGAGGCCTCCAAGATGGCCCCATGACGGTCCAAGAGGCCCGCCCCAAGAGAGCCCCAAGACGGCCCAAGAGGCCTCCAAGACGCCTTCAATGGCCTCGAAGACGGCCAAGATTGCCCAAGATGGTCCCAAGATGTCTAGAAGACGGCCAAGATGGCCTCCAAGACGGCCCAAGAGGTCTCCAAGACGCTCAAAATGGCCTCCAAGACTGCCCAAGAGCCCTCCAAGACGTCCTCCAAGAAGGCCCGAAAGGGTCAAAATGGCCTCCAGACGGCCAAGATGACCTTCAAGATGCCCACGTGTTCCCCGAAGGCTTTCCAAACCAATTCCGATAGCCACGTGGTCCGATAGCTTGACAGGTCTGGCCTCAACGTTTGGCCACATAGGCGCTTCCATAAAGGCAGGGGGCGGCGGTGATTCGCCGTAGGCGTCTTCGATAACGCCAACGCTTCAATATGCGCTGATGACTCTTATCCGCCCCCGCATGCTGTTCCCAGAGGCGCCAAGGCAGCGCCGAGAGGCACCGACGCGACTCTGTTATAGCCTGTTATGATAGAAAGGGGGCCGGCGGCAGGGGGCGAAGCCCTTACGGATAATTTCGAGCACCCAGAAGGAGTATCGAAACAGTGTCGAACGAGTATCGCCTCCCAGGGCCCGACACGTGAACTCCTTCAAGTTTCGGTACTTTCACGGTGCTCGGAACTCCTTCTGGCGATCAAAGCTGAAGTAGGTTGGAACATCATGATGCAAGCCTCGGACCCCTCCCCGGGCACCAGCTTCCGAGCGGCTTCGGACTGCCCCAGGGGCCGGCCGCACCTCGCAGCCCGAGACGTCCGCGGGCGCGCCCCGCGAGGAGACACCGACCTGCTGGGAGGCAGCCCCCGGGAGGCCATTCGTGGGAACGAGCGCAGGCTAGGAAGCCCGACTGCCCCGAGATCCTGGCGCAGCATGTCTTGCGCACCGGACGCCCTCGCCTGGACTCGGGCCCTGGGACCCTCATCGGTGGAGCGGGCTAGAGAGACGACTGGAGCCCTCGAGCCCATTGACCGAAGGAGGAGGAGGAGGAGAAGGAGGACGACGACGACGACGGCAGATGCGACAGCGACGACGGAGACGGAGACAGCGGCGGCGGGGATCCTCCATCGCCTCCAGGAGCCGCTCCAGCCGGACGGGGTCGCCCTCGAAGCGGTTGTACAACTGGAGGGTGATGTCCTTGGTGGCCTCCTGCGGGGCGAAGACGGAGAGGGAGGGAGGGAGAGCAGGGAGAAAGGAGACGAAGGCCGACTGGCGGCCCCAAGTACATCGTCGCGGCTGATCTGCCGCCATTTCTGGCCTCGGGTTCCGCGAACCTCAGGCAACGACGCGGGATGAAGGGCCGGCCCTGGCGAAAGGATCGAGACTTCGGGGAGTGTGGGAGGAGGAGCGAAGAAAATAGGGTACCAAACTCTATACACCGACGCTTTTCCCGGCACTGCGCCGAAATTTGCACAAGAAAGCGGATCCTGGAATATACGGGACCCTGGTGTGCACACTTGCTGCAGCTTCCCTTCTGGGAACTGGGGAAAAATATACACACCACCACACCCCCGACGCCGTCCCCGACCCTCGAAAAGTCCCACGTACGTGCCCCAGTGACCGAGCAGAGAGCAGAGAGCTGGAACAAAAAAAAAAAAAAAACGTCCCGGAAGGACGGCCCTATGAGAGCCCGGCGGGGGCGCCGGAGCGCCAGAGCCCCAGTGACTGAGCAGAGGGGCACTGCGCTCTCCTGGCCGATGCCGGGGCCCGAGCGGGCCCCGCGGCCTCCCGGTGTGGCAGGCCGCGGCCGCCCTGCGAGGGCGGTCCCGGGGCACGGCGGGCGGGGCAGCCGCGCAGGCCGGCCGAGGGCGGCCCGGGCAGGGTGGGAGCCGGAAGGGGCCCTGGGACACAGGAAGAAATAGACACAAATGAAGGGATTCCCTAAGTTTTCCCATATTTTCTGGGTTTTTTTTTGTCTTCCCCCCCACTTCCTGGATTGTCCCCTCTTTTCTGGGGGATCGACGATTCATGGTGTCTGTGTGTGTTTTTGTTCCCCTCCTGAGAGTTGATGGGGGGCGGGGAGGAGAGGAAGAATTCAGCTGGCCTTTGGTCCGGCCGAAAGGGGGTGGTGCAGTAGATTTGGGGCAACGGTGTTGCACATGCACTGCGCTGGAAGATTGTAGTGCATCGCACTGCATCTCTCCTGTATTGCGCGCGAAGATCCAGCAGTACATTTGCGCCCCAGAATGTATTGCACGCACCAGATCTACTGCAACCCCACAAATCTCTTGCACCAAAACTATTGCACGACCCTCTTTTCGCTGGACCCTCTTTGGGTCACAAGAAGAAGAGGAAAGAAGGAAGAAGGGAGGGAAGCAGGGAAGACGAGAAGAAGTGGGTGTGGAGGCAATTAGGGGAAGGAGGGAGGAAACCTCGAGAATGATCCGACGTGTCCCCGTCAATGGCTGAGAAGGTGGCCGTCCAGGTGAGAGAGCAGAGGCAGGCACGACTTCCCTGGCCCCCCGAAACACTACCTCAGAAAAAATAGCGAACACGCATGCCACATTCATCGGTCAACGCCTCCCAATCCCCCCAATGTTCAAAGTTGGCGGTGGGTCTGATGAGTTCCACTTCGACCGCAGTCTCCCCCGCGCGTGCCAACTTTGAGTTTGGGGGAGCGGGGGAGTGTCCACTGATTGTTTCCCCCTACCGTATTGGGCCACTCCTGCAAGGATCCGACCAGAGATGTAGGAGGAACGGTTTCGGCGTCTCCTTCCCCCTCTTTGTCTCCTCCATGCCCATCGTGGTTCAAATCGCGGGCGGCTCAAAATTGTCCGTAGCGAGGGGGGGTCCGGGTAGGCTCAAGTCGTGCTCAGTGCCTTCGGCTTGGCCCCTGAGGGACACGCGGGGCGACAGGAGAGCTGGAGCAAGTGGGGCAAATTTCCTGTAACCCTAGCCTATCGGCACGGATTGTGTCGTAGGAATGCGGATTCATATGGATTAGCTTCCCTGTCCCATCTCAATACCCATTATGTCCGATTTCCTGGCTTTCTTCCTCTCTCTTTCCCCCCTCTCGCCTGCTGCTGCCGGCTCGGCCCGAGCTGGTTTGTGACAATCTGGCCACTGGAGCGGTGGTCCGGGAGAAAGAGCGCCCTACATCAATCCCTGTCGGGATCCGCCGCCGTCCCCGCCGCCACTGCGGGCCGGGAGGCGGGCCGCTGGAGGCTACCCGGTTCCGCAGTGGTAGCGGAGCAGGCACGCGTGCGATCGCCATAGCAGCAGGGTGATCAAGATCGACGAGGCTGGAGTTCGAGCGAGCAGCAGCTGAACGACAGCAACAAGAAGGACGTGTACACGGAGGCTCAGATGCAGCCAGCATCCATGGGCGGAGGAGTCCTCAGCCCCGAGTCGCCTCCTCGGCGAGATGGACAAGGAGGTTCGCAAGAGTAGCGTGGACGGTACTCGACCACCTGGTGGACGACGGCGCCGCAGTGGACGAGCCGCGACCTGGAGGGCATCCCGACGTGGGACGGCTCGGCGTCGAGGAGGCGGCGCTACAAGAAGAACGTGGCCCTGTGGATAGAAGGCATCAACCTGGACGTGAGTTGGAGCTGGGCGGCCCGGATGGTGAGGTGCCTGACGGGCCCCGCGACGACGCTATGGTGGAGCTTCGCGCGAAGCCGTGGACGTGTGTGCCCAACCTCAGCGACGCTGAAGTGGCCGAAGTGGCCCTGGACGACGGCACGGAGAACGACGAGGAGCGCGGCCACTGGGAGGAGCCCGACGCCATGGCGGGAACCAACAGGCTCACGGAGGTGCTGGCGACGATGGGCGTGGACGAGCCGACTCGCAGAGGCCAGGTGGTGACGTGCTTTTACGAGCAGCTACATCGAAGGGCCAGCGAGGATGTGAATGCGTGGATGATCAGGTTCGGAGAGGCTCGGAGCCAGTCGGACGAGGAAGAGGTGGCGCTGCCGGCTCGGACGGCAGGCTGGTGGCTCATCGAGAAGACGGACTTGACGGACGCGCAGAAGAGCATGCTGATGACCTCGACCGGCGGCAGCATGGAGATATGTGAGGTGGTGTCGGCCATGCTGCGAGTTTTCCCCAACTTGCACATGACTGAGCGGCGAAGCAACCCGTTCGAGCGACGACGGCCGATCATTTTCAACAAGCTGGGGACGGCGCCACTGAAGAAGAAAGTGATCCGGAAATTCAAAAAAGCCAACGTGACGGAGGATCTCGACGGACTGAGCCAGCTCGACGAGGACGAGCTCGAAGTCCTGAACGCAGAGCTCGGCAGCTTCGACGGCGACGCCGATGACGAGACGGTCGAGGAGGCTTTGACGACGGAGCTGGACCAGGACATCAAGAGCATCCTCGCTGCGGAGCTGGGGGCGCTCTCGACGGTGCTCGAGGAGGCGGAGCACGACCCCGATCTGGCCCAGGAGCTCGGGAACCTGGAGAGAGGCGTGGAGTCGATGATGGGGAGCTCGACCCACCAAGGAACACGATCACGAGACTCTACTGGGAGAGACTACCACAAAAGCCGAGGCCGACATCGTCGCCTGAGTTGGATAGCCGCCCGCTGCTCTGCGACCAGGACCAGCTGATGCGCGTTGCCAGGGACGTGCTGGAGGACATGGCGGAGGTGTTGGAGATCCCGCGGGCGAGGTACCTCAGCCTCAAGGTGCTGATCGACCGGCCGATGGAGGCAGGCTCGAAGGCGGGGCGGAGGACACCCTAGGAGGAGGGCGAGGCGCTCGTGCGGGCGTCCCGCCCGGAGCCTCGAGTTCGAGGGGCCCAGCGGGGAGTTCTGCGCCTGGGACCCCAGGCTCGGTGGCATCGAGTGCGTCAACCAGGAGGCGCATGCGTGGACTGCCACCTCTGGGCCTCAAGAACAAGAGCGAGCTGGTGGACTACGTTCGCGACCACGAGGTGCCGACGAACGGCAACCCAGAGCCGATGACGATGCCGGCGCTGAAGGACGCGGCGTACGCGCATGACGAGGTGCCGTTCACGCGGGGTCGGTCCACCTCGAGGGGCGCGCCGCTCAGCGGCGCGGGACCACGACCCCCACCGCTCGACCGCCGAGCGCGGCCAGCTGCTCGAGGACCATCAGCGAGGTGGCTGCTCGGTGGCGCTGTGGCGAGGATGGTGATGCCCCTGGAGATCGAGAAGGGGGTGAATTTCACGGATCGGGTCAATCTGAGCCCGACGCTAGAGAAGATGAAGAACGGGGCCAAGACACTGGCGAAGGACCAGCTGCGTTCCCTGAAGCGCGACCTGGAGACGATCGACGTCGAGCCCGAGGCCTGCCTGACGGAGTTCGGGACCAGCTTCGATTCGCGGGAGGCCGAGTGCGAGGCAATGGTCAGCGAGAAGAGAGCGCGCCAGCCGTGAGTCACGGAGGCATTCACGACGCAGGAGGCGGCACACACAGAGGCGGCCCGGCAGGGGCTCCCGACCAGTAGGAGCTGTTCGCTGGAGCTCGGCGACGACCTGGCTTTCTCTCTCTCACTTTCCCCCCTCTCGCCTGCCACTGCCGGCTCGGCCCGAGCCGGTTTGAAACAATCGGGCCACTGGAGCGGTGGTCCGGGAGAAGGAGCGCCCTACATCGATCCCTGTCGGGATCTGCCGCCGTCCCCGCCGCCGCTGCGGGCCGAGAGGTGGGCCGCTGGAGGCTACCCGGTTTTGGCAGATTCGAACGGGAATATAGGATTGCACTGTCTGTATGGGAGGTGGCGACTAATATGCGAAAGCGGGGTGTGCTACTTTCAGACAAGGGTGACCAGAGCTGCTCAGACCCAAATCTTACAGATGTTTGGTATACGCTTTTTGCTGACTCATCTTTCCTGAACGAGTTGATCGGCATCCGTCCCAGAGGGTCGGGGTGGCGCCGACATGCCATTGAACGGCCATACACTGGGCGTGTGTTTTCCCAACCTTTCTCATCCGTTCAATGAAATGGTATACAGGCACACACACACACACATGCTTCATAACCATGCTTTATGTTCCTCCTCTCGGCTACACGCAAGAGTGACCCTCAGCGCAAGAGTGACATTTAGTGCGCGGCTTAACGGGGGACGCGGGGTGGCCAAACCTGGGCGCGCAAGCCGCTGCTACCGCATCGCATGCGGCGATCGGGGGACCCCGATGAGCCCGAACCAAGGATCACTCCGGCGAAAGGCCACTCTTGCGTCTAGTCGATCCTCATCCTCATCAAACCCCCATCCAGCTCCTTCGGTGGCAACGCATGGGAGCCTCCCATACCATCTTGTCGGCTATTGCGAATCGACGCTAGTCGACGCTAAATGACGCTAAATCGGCGCTCATCAACGCTAATCGACGCTAAATCGGCGCTATCGCATCGACTCCCCCAGACGCCAATCGACGCCAATCGACGCCAAAGACAGAAATACGAGGGTACACAAGACTCCCATGACTTGCTACCGAATCCCCCCCTCCCCCTCCGCCTCGCGGAGCTCCCGCCGGCCCGACCCCCCAACGGGCGACGAACGACGAACGACGAACGACGACGAACGGCGAACGACGAATCCGCCAGGAACGATTTCAAACGGGCGACGAACGACAAACGACGAACGACGACCGACGACCGACGACGAACGACGACCGACGACGACGACGACGACGACGACGACGACGAACGACGACGACGACGACGACGACGACGACGACGACGACGACGACGAACGACGACGACGACGACAACGGCGACGACGGCGACGACGGGCCGGCCTCGGAGGCCAGCATCAGCTGCAGCCGCTGCAT